TATGCATAAAATGAGAACTCCCTCGACGATATCAAACTTTCTCTCGGTGATGAAAGGCATAAAAAAGACCAAGTGGAATCTGTTTATTCGACGTAAACAGATCGCCGTCTGTTACCCCTGATTAAAAAAAGAAAAGATACACATACGTATACTCGAAAGAAATCAACTCGAAAACTTTTCTCCCTGAATGTTCGAGGGGGGATAAATACATGCAGTAGAAGAAAAAATATCATCGATATCAATCAAGATAACTGTCCGCAAAGCCGCTGTCATATGATTGCCTACGTTAATTCACCTTGACGAAGAGGTTGAAAAAATAAAAGGACGTACAGGTTATTCTATTTCGCTCATACGTCATGCGAGCAATGCTTCGTAGTATTATGCTTCGTTGACGACTAAAGTACTCATCTGTTTTTCTCCTTTGCTTTTTCTCTCTCTCGAAATCGTTACACAGAATCGATAATTTTTCGCTTTCTATTTAGCATAAAGATATCCGTATAAATAAAAAAAATAATAATCAAAACAAAAACACATTTAGACGTCGTCTCGTTCGATATATTCGATCAGAACTTGCCAGAAGAGAGCACTCGAAGCAGTTCACACGCCTTTCTCTGAAATGCTTACAACTGTAATAGGGATAGTCATGAAAAAAAAAAAAGAAAATGAGGACGATAAAACAGCGAATGACCGGTAAAGAAGAAGAAGACGAGAGAAGAAAGCAACATATATGATAACAACAGGACGGACGGTTCAAGAGAAGCAAAGTCGACGTCACTATTTTTCTTCTTCCATTCCTTATGTTATTTCTCTCTCTTGGTTCATGCTAGCTGCCGCAAGAGCAGTTAGTCGAAAACACGAGTTATCACAGTACATTAGAAGTGCATATATTGCGAAAGATAGCAGAAAATATTGATCAAAAGTGATTAATAGATCCTCGAGAAAAACATTTTTTTTGCCATATTAATATTCTTAATAGGAAGGACTGCAGACAATACTCTTGGGATCGTTATTTCATTTATTTTTCTCCTCTAAAAAAATACTAATATTACATGTCATCGGAACGCATTTCTTTACACAGAGAAAAGCATGCATCAGTAAATCCTTTTCAATTAAAACAAAATAAAACGCAAACAGAGCATTGACACATTTATGTTAATATATTAATAATTGAAATCAGTTTAATATTATTACTTGGCCGACTGAAGTTTATTCGAACTTCTCACGGTCCAAACCTTCGTTGAAATTCATGACACTTGTCATAGCTATCTCTCGCCAGATGTTTATGGACATCTAAGGAAAGACAATCTTATTATTGTTATTGTTATTCTATGTGGTCATGGCACAGGCGATACTTTCGTGACATGTCTCAATAGTTATTTTCAAGTAAGATACTAAACATAATTCATTAGGTTTCTAGCTGATATGTGCTTCATATAAAATAGTGATATTTCGACTTGTGTTCATGCTTACCTGAGCTTCAAGTACACCCGTTGTCTTCATCCTCTTTTCATTTCTCATATTAGAATAGAAATTCGAACTCTAATCATTCGTTGTTTGCGCATGTGTAGTCGTGTGGTCTACAGTTGTTCCTATTGCGGTATGTGTGAAGAAGAAGAAGAAGAAAAAGAGGAGCAATTTATCGATAAAGAAAAAACGACAGAGAATAAGAGTAGTGTGCACGAGTTTCATGTACACGCGCATGCGCCCAAAAAAAAAGAAATAATGATGATTCTCCACTCTTCTCGTTGTTTCTTATGTGATTCGAAAGCATCATCGGAACGGATGACACGCAAGTAAAACGAAGAATAACGAGCAAAAGAAAACGTGTTGGCACTAGAGAACGTCGATGTAACCATACACTGATCGAATCTTTTTGACATTGACCTGTAGACAGACTACGTAGAAAGCAAATATAAATAGAACGACGTTTTCCCCTGTTGCTATTCCTTCCTTATTTTCGATACATTTGTCGTAAGCTATGAACGTCAATAAAGTGTGCTGTTCCTACAAGATGTTTGCTCTGATAGAATCTTAAAAGCATTTGCTTCTTTTGACCTAGAAATTTATCTCTCCTAGCAAGTGCTCGGAAATAAAATAAAAGGAGCAATAGTAAACATAAGCGGCACTACCGATCGATCGATTGATTACTTTCGTTCAATTTTCACTCTTGACTTATTTACGTCACCGATCGATTGACTGCCCGACGGCAAACGGCTCAACAACAATCAGTTTAATAATATATACATACAGACTAAAAGAAGATGAAGACGGTTTTCCTTCGGAATTAATGATTGTTTCCTTGTATACTCGTCTTGAATCCGACGTTAAATAGCACCATACATCGATGAGTTCATGTGGTAAAGAACGGAAATGAAAAAAAATAAGAAAACAACTTTCATTTATTCGACTATCGCGTTCTTATGAACGATAGATCGCTGTTGAAAGAAATTAAAACGATCGTTTAAAATCTAGTCTACAAGAGAGAGAAAGCGGAAAACAACAATACATTCATAGCATTACCCATTGTCAATAGACTCTTGCCAAATGCTTTCTGGATATTGATTGTCTCCAGACAAAAAGAAACAGAACTTTCATACATATATCTTTATATATACAAGTCTGTAAATCTCTTGTGTAAATCAAAGATAACAATAAAAAGGAAGAAAAGGAATTTTCTGAGAGATAACTTACGTAATCATCGTAGAATGATAGTTGACATTGACTAACAATGTCGTCAACATGTATTGACGTCATACATAGCTACTTCCTTCAGTTTTTTCGGCACATTGTTCATCGATCTATTGACGTCATAATGAACCTTGACAATCTTTTTTCTCACATTTTTGTCAGATGCTCGTAAAGACCATCATCGTCACATACATTATTGTCTACATGCTTATCCAATAAATCATAATAACAATGACAAATAAAGATCATCGCAAGAACGTAAGAAGTACTGAATGATCATTTTTCTACTTTTACTTATCCTCAATTAAAAACGTTCCTACGGGCCATCATTTAAAGAACCTACTCGATTCATCTCGAGAGCAGTGGGTTAAATAATACTCGCAAATCCTAACTGACAGCTTGCAAAAAAAAACACTCGGAAAGAAATGCACTTACTTACATTGATCATTTGTTCCTGTAGTACATAGTATGTCGAGACGAGAGGGAGAAGAACATGACGATAACAAGGATTATTCTGCGGGTTTTCATGGTGAGGAATAAAAATAGACAAGGTACACCTTAGCGCGTCTACGCTTAACTGCGACCAGTACTTTTCGTTTCAAAAATACTGATGAGGGATAGATTTAGCGCAACAGAGTATCTACAGATAACACGAGTTACTTTGATTTCTCTTCTTTATCAAATAAGCAAGAAGAAGGAAAGATATATTCATACATATTTCGAAAATAAATGATGATTACCATAAGTATTCGCTTACTTCCAAGAAGATAAATATAGGTAGTAATAACGATCATTATTTATCATTAATAATGATTATGAGGAGAAGGAACTGATCTCGTTACAACATGAATTTCGATTCCTACTCTAATCTCGATTGCGTACTTATATATTTTTATACACGTTAGAATCAAATGACGTATATAAAAAGCAAAAATTGATATGTTTTTCACATGACTTTCATTTTTTTCGTACGAATGATAAAGTAACATGACATTCATGGAATAAATAAAGGCATAAATATCCCTTTTCTTATGTTTTATACAACTTGATTTATAAAAGAAGAAAGTTTTCTTCATTTTTCTTTCTTTTCTTTATTAACAATATACAGACATTCGATGTGGTGGATGTTGTCGAATGGCGTCGTTACAAATCAATTATCGACGAAAAGGAAAAAAAAAGCACGTCGATATAGATAAAATACAAAATTGATCTTTTAGGTCTTTCTAACTGTGATCGTTGTTAAAGAGTGACGAGCATTTTTCCAATGAATGTCTGCTTCCTTTGCCTGGATTTGAGATTAGTCACATCGATTGTTTTATTTTTCGATGTGATGAAATGTTGATGCGTCGTACAAGGTTTAATCGTCGATCACATCATGATAAAACGAAATTATTTGCAAATGTATTTTGTTATTACCACGAGACCTCGAAGTTTATCATTTTTATAGTTAAATCTTGCCGTCGTGCTGAGATGTGATAATTCCTTATCAGAAAATACATCCGAGCAAGCAAGTGTTTGCGCTGTGCCTTTGAATATAAGCGACGGATAGAACTCTAGGAAGAATCGTGCGTACCGTACGTACGTACATTAGGAGCTGCATGTGACACTTAATATCAGTCTTGGTCTAGAAGACCTTTTGTACTGAACAGTATTTGTAGAACGAAAAGAGATGTATTTCAGTGAGTGATAAAAGAAGAAGAATTTCACTGGTACAAACGACCGAAGAGGAAAAAGATTGATTTATGAAGAATGTCGGAAATGAAGAGCAGAGTCTGGCACTCCTACTTCAATTTGTCATCGAAAGTTCATTGGAAGACACAGGAAGATATCTGAATAGACAATTAGACGTTTTTGCTCTACGGTTCCCTCGGAAGATAATTATAGATTGAGCAAAAAATTATTTTTCCATATATAGTAACCTAATCGATTAGTGTACTTTTTTCTTTCAATTTCACCCGGTCAGCCGTTAAAAGTGCACAAGGGAACGCATTTTTACCTTACGCCGCTACTAATCAAGAATCTCGCATAGAAATTGCGTATAACTAGACCGACGTTCTCATGTCCCGGTTTTGTCATCAGTGTTCGTTAAACACATTAATGCTTGTTCATCACAACGTAAGGAAGTTGCGCTTAATCGAAATAAGGCAATGTAGAAAGACCTTCTTCATCCAGCATTATCTATAAATAAATCAAACTAATCGATGTAGAAAGATATGCATAAATATTCTATCTATCTTTTCTTTTCTTTTCTATGACAAAAGGAAAACTAAACACAAAAGAAATCAATAGCAACAACTATCTGACTAGAATTTCTATGAACGTATTTGTTGTCCGTAAAAACGATGATCGAAATCGGCGTCGTCGTAACCTTTCGGGATGTGGTTAGTTGGCACTTGATCTTCGTAATAGCAATCATCGGAATCAGTCGAATGACAATCGGATGAAGTGTCCGTTAATTCTTGTTGATTTTTCTCTTCATCATCATCATTGAGAGCAGTTTGTGCTGCATCGTCCTCATCCATATCATCGAGAAGAAATTTATTATCATCGCCATCGATAGTATTCGATGCTAATTTGGATTTACGTTTGTCATCGCGGATTTGTTCCCATTGTCGATTCACAGTTCGACGTCGTTTGTCGGTTTCAGATTCATCATCGGAACCATATTCGATTGTGAAGAAGTCTGGTCGCGGTTCGATCGGACGATTGTTAAGTGTTACCCACATAAATCCTTCGTTTGCTTTTCGTATTGTCAAGAGAATATTCGAACGGCGAACTTGAAATAAACTTTTTTCCGGTATGATATCATGAGCTAGATGGATTCGAACAAAACGATCGTACGTTCGAATGCGTGTTCGACAATAAACTGAGTTCGCTTCAAATTCGACACGTGTCTGAGTCGAATCAACGTTATAAAAGCCAATAGTTAGATAAATATCTCGTGTAGTTTGTTCCCAGAATAAGCGCGTTTTGCGTTGGACTTGCTTGTAATTGATCTGTTCTTGTGTCAACGGACCACGCTCACCAATAAATGGTTCGTAGCGACTCATATTCGGAGGAGGAATTGATTGTTCATTGGTTTCATTGTTTTCATCGTCTTGATTTTTATTATTGTTCTCCTGATTCGATGATCTGGGGTAGTGATTTCGCATATAGCGATTACGATTTCGTTGAACAGGAAAGTCAGCCTGACGACGTTGTTCGTCTTCCATGTCTTTGATTTGCCGAAGTTGAGAAAATAGTTTCGGACCGAAAATAAACATCATCTGATCACTGTCATCCACTAAACCTGCCTTTGATTCTTCATTCTGTACTGTTTCAGCAGTATCCTTAAGACAAAATAAAGTTATTCGAATTCCATGCACAACAATTACGTTGTTTCTACTATCGAAATACCTGAGAGATTTCACAGTCATTGTCATTTAAGTTGTTTTGAATTCGTTCAGTTTTAGTTTGCATTTCGGCCATTTTAATCGGTTCAATTTCTGAAGGCGTGGTAACCAGCGATTGACTTGATCCCTTTGATGAAGTCGACTGTGGCCGTTGAAGGATACTTCCTGAGAGTGATGGCTCAGGATTGATTCGATAACCGCGGCCAAGCGACATGTATTGATCAGTTATTGATGTTGTTGTTTTGTTATTCGTTGATGATTCTTGGTTTGCTGCTGGATTTAATCCAACGAGATCTGAATCTGATTGTTGGTTATGTTTAGAAAAGAACTGTTTAGATCGGCCAACCGGATTAATAATAAGTTGTCCAAGTCGGTTGAGAAATGGTTTAAATACAGACGAAAAGTCTTCGATAGTATCTTCGTCAGCTTGAACTGAGGGTGATTGTTCAGTTATAACTTTTTGTTTCTCGGAATTTATTGTTGGTTCTGTCTGCTCTTTTGTTTCTTGTGGAAGATCAATCAATTTAACTTCAGCTGCTAAACGTTCAAGTACAATCATATGGTTTTCGTTTGTTTGAATAAGTTTCGAAAGGAGCAATTGTTTTCTTATTGGTTTATCATATGCAATACGTTTCAAAGATGCCAAACGAACTGGTTTGACCAGTGGATCAATCCAAAAGCACGAACGTGTTGCTAACTTAATTCTTCCCATGAATATTTCATTCAACGTTAACGTACGAAGTGTCTCAATTGTAAATGGTGTAAATGCCATCGTAATCTTATCCAATGGATAGACATTGCAAAGAATAATTTCTGTTGCTAATGGCGGATACTGCTTTAGAGTAGATGGTTCAATTGGGTATAGATATTCATTAGATTGCAAGCTAAAAGTAATGCCTGTGTCCAGACTAAAGACAGTTAAGACTGGATGATTGATTGTAGTCATAGATGAACTAGAAAATGAGAAGAATCATTGACGATTGTCAGGAGAATAGAAACTACTTTCGTTCGTTCGTTTCTTGAACATCGTCAACCTCTGTACTTGTTGATACTGTTGTATTCGATACTTTCAAAAGTCGATTCAAAATTGCATCAGCTCTTCGAATGTTGAAATATATTTGTTCTTGGTCTTGAACATAAACTCGATGAACGTGCTTTTGTTCGTCAGCATAGAGGTAAACTTCTCCGGGAATAATTTCCCTCAATGGTCGATTTTTCACATGATCGAAAGCGTCTTGAATCTGTTGGTAAAATGAATCGTAGTCGAATACTTTGTTTAAGTTTTGATTAACATCACTTCTGGAACGTAAGATATGAGCCCATAAACGATTTCCATCGCTGACATGCGTTACTTTCAATTCCATTTCTCCAGTTGTTGGTAAATAGAGTTCGTATGTATCCGATAATTCTTTATCATCCGTTTTCTGCTCGATAAAATCAACATCATAATGGAAATTATGTCGATACGGGCAACGCTTGAGTTTCTTTTCACTTGCACACTCACCGAACGCTTTCAACGTTGGACAAAATTCAACATTGACTTTGGCTTGTGAAGTTTCACGGCAATTGTTTTTAGCTAAACGTTCAATTAATGGATGTAAATATGAATTCGAGTTTTTGATATAATCAATCAAATCGTACGTCACTTGCGCACAATCACCAGGCCAAAGAGTTACAATCAATGGAATGTTCAGCGAGGGATTCAGTTGGTAAAAATTATCAATGGACTTTAACGAAGTTAAACTTGTTTTTTGGAGATGATTTACATTTGTTGAATTGTAAAAATGACTTGAGACAAATTTCATACGTTGATGGAATAGCTGATACCAAATTAATCGCTGAACGTCAAGATGAATAAGAATATCTGCATTAGAAATGGGAATATCGTTCAAAATCTCGTCTTGGATAAGCAATATCAGTGGACGATCAGTGATTGTTTGCCATTCATGAATATATTGCTGAATTTCATCGTGATGTAATTGGGAATGAATAAGAATCGATTGAATCGATAGATCACTGAGAATACTTTGCATTGTCGCTAATCGACGTGTTTGATATGCACACATGAGAATCTTTTTCCGGTGACGACATGCTAAATCTAATGTCTCTTGGATAATATTCTTTCGTTCGAACCAATTTCGACATGGTTCACAATAGTGAAGAAAGTTTTTATATGAATAAGTCTCGAGCATCGATGACGAAAGATAATAATAGTTTGGATTCGAAGAAAATTTTTCCAAAATCAAATCTTTCGCTTGTTGCGTAACAGTTCGAGAGAGAAAGACATGCTGAGTTGATTTGCTTTTACTCGAATGTAAATCAAGTAGATTGAAAATCTCTCGGATCGAGCCTATGTTTTCAAGAAGAAGAAGATCAAATTGATCATACTAGACAAATAAAATACAAGACATGGGTCTCTCGTTTCCAACTGATCACTACTTACAACAATCAGTTGAAGTTGTTCGAAATGTATATGACGTTTTTGAATTAGATCATTGACAACCGTTGGTGTTGCAATTAATAGATCACATCCGTTTGTTAACAGTTTCTTGTATAAATCATTCTCATGGTTTTGCCCTTCGTACACACAGCACGTCAAGACGTTTTTCAAAACATCTGCCTGCACATTGGATAAATGTTTATAAGTGTTTTCACAGGTAGACCAATCTGGTGTGAGAATTAACACTTTCGGATAGACAATATCTGAATTTAACGCTGGATAATTGCTCGTCGTACGATAAAAGAAATCCCAGACTAGAAGATCATACTTCAAAACAAATTTAACGCTGCTAGATTCTCGTGTCGGTGGATGATCAACTGCCCAAACATGCGAACCACGATGGACTAATGGCCAAAAATAGGAGATGAACGCTGGAAGGTAATCAGTTTGGATGGACTGAATTGGATTGACATTTGCATTACAGTAGAGTGCACTAGACAGAAATGGGTGATAAGAAATAGATCATTGAGAATATCTATTTATACCGAACATCGCAATGAAATTGTGAATCAGATATTGTAGACCACGGTTGAAAACTTGAATCGAGATTATCCGAATTTAATAAACATAAAGATCGTTCACGTAGATTTGATAATATCATCTTCTCTTCGTTATACCCACAAGACTAAAATATCAAAACGAAGTAGATGAGACATTTTATGGTTCAATAATCTCTTACACTTGTTTCGAAAATTCAATTTAACGGATAATCGATCGAACCTCCTCATGCCGATCGTTAATCCAATCGGTTTTAATTACCGAATACCAAACTAACGACATCTATTCGCAAGGATTTTCATAGAAGAAAATAGAACGAATGACTGTTGAGTAGGTTTGTCTGTCTGTCTGGTTGTCTGACTAACTACCGACTACACAAATACGAAAATATATAAATAATAGTAGCAGTTGTATTACTTCTCCACTTTATTTTTAGCTTCACAAGAAAATATACTATGAGCACAAGCAATAAAAATGAAGTTAACTCTGAACAAGAAGTTCGTGTTTGGATGGATGGATGGTAAATAATAAAATTCTTTTCATCGGTCTTAGAGGAACGTCGACAACTACACGATGGTTTTAGCTTTGATGTTTATCTGAATGAGCAATGAGTCATATGATTAGCGTTAATCATCATGAACGTTTATATGACGTCACTGTAGTTTCAGCATGAATAATAGTCTGACTGTAATTGTTTATTTTTAGCTATGATATGGTTCATTTCGGTCATGCTAATGCTTGTCGGCAAGCTAAACATATGGGAACCCACTTGATTGTTGGTGTTCATTCAGATGGTGAGTATCGATTCTTTTCCTTCCGATCTATTTCGACTAGTTATTTTTAGCGGAAATAACGAAACACAAAGGTCCACCCGTATTCACGGAACAAGAACGATACAAAATGGTTCGAGCGATCAAATGGGTTGATCAAGTTGTAGAAGATGCGCCTTACGTAACAACATTAGAAACATTAGAAGAATACAATTGTGCATTTTGTGTACATGGTGATGACATCACAGTAAGTGACTAACCATTTTCTTTCTTTCTTCTGATTATTCATCTATCAAAGGTAACTGCTGATGGTGTCGATACTTATCACATCGTCAAAGCAGCAGGTCGATATCGAGAATGTAAACGAACTCAAGGTGTATCAACAACAGATCTTGTTGGAAGGTGAAAATGAATTTGTGTTGATTATTCGAAGAAAGAATGAAATAATCGTTTAGAATGCTATTGGTGACCAAATCTCATCATGAACCAGATGACATGTTGCCAGATCGAGAAAATACACTTCGAATGAGTTTATGTAAAGAGAGTGTCAGTCCATGGACCGGTGCTTCACAATTTCTCCCCACAACGAACAAAATCATCCAATTTTCCAACGGACGTGAACCGAAAGTAAGCGGGACAACGAGACAAAGAAAATTGAAGTTATTATTTGATACGCCACATTGACTATTCACTTAGTCTTTTGTGTTTCTTGCATTAACTACTTTTAAATACGAGTACTCTATTTTTAAAGAAACGAAATGGAAATGTGATATTTTTTAGCCTACTGATAAAGTTGTTTACACAGCTGGTGCTTTCGATCTGTTTCATGTTGGTCATGTGGATTTTCTGGAAAAAGTGAAAGCCTGTGGAGATTATGTTATCGTCGGTCTACATTCAGATAAAGTAAGAATTTACAATAGAACTTCGTTTGTTTAATCCAACAATCATCGATCTTTTCAAAGGTAGTCAATCGATACAAGGGCAGCAATCATCCAATTATGAATCTTCACGAACGCGTGCTGAGCGTTTTAGCCTGTCGTGTAAGAACAAATCTTGTTGAGAAATTAGAGATGTTGAACGATCACCTTCCCCGTTTAGTATGTTGATGAAGTCGTGATTGGTGCACCCTATTCAGTCACATTGGAATTGATCAATCACTTCAAAGTTTGTTGCGGAAGAAAACCAATTCATAGCATTATGTTTCTCCTTTCATACAGGTCTCTTGCGTTGTTCATGGACAAACACAATACGAATCGGATGCGGACGGACGAAATCCATATGAAGTACCGTTAGGTCTTGGCATATTCAAACAAATCGATAGTGGAAATCCGATGTCTACGCAGGATATTATCACAAGAATTATCGACAATCGGTTCGTTACTTTGAATTGCATTGAATCGAAAAAGTCATTGTGATGTTTATTGTAGATTAGAATATGAAAAGCGTAATAAGAAGAAAGAAGCGAAGGAAGCTGCCGCATATGAAGCGTTCCAAAAATTGAAAGCTGAAAATCTCAATGAATCAACTGCTGTTAATGTTAATCAGCAAGCATGAACAACAAATGATTAATCTATGTTCTTTTTTTCTTCTCTCCTACTGATAAGAGAATTTGATCGTTAGAACAAAACTGAGCATTTAATATCTTGTTGGTTTTGCATGTCTATTCTTTTGTTTTGTTTTCTTTTTTGTTTGTGTGCATATCTTAAGATCATTTTATTAATTTTAAATCACATTGGCAACAGGCATAATTTATCATTTGACTTCATTACTGACTTTTCACTAACACACTTCAGAAAGCTGATCGAATCTATAAATACCTCCATGTTTTCGCGGCAAAATGAGTTGATCGAACGCAATATTCGGATGTACTTATGCATGACATTCGTCAATAATTCATCTTAATCGGAAATACAGTTTCCGTATTGATATTAATGAGGAATAATATAATGATATAAAATGATAAAATCATCTGAAATGACATGGATTTGAAGTCAGAGAAAATCATTAGATTTCTTAGTTTGTTACAAATAAGCAGTAAGAGAAACATGCGGATCCATCGTCGTGATCGAACCTATTGGAGATCAATCTTGGGAATTTTGGAAATTTTGATTATGGTAAAACAAATTCATTTTCTATAAAAGACTGATCGTGATGGTACCTTTGCAGGCTTGTCTCTTGTTTGGTTTAATCTGTGCATTGATTGCATCGAATCTATGGACAGAACAAGCTAATTGGCTAACTCAAGTTTGTTTGGATTCTACCAGCAATACTTATTGTGGCAATTTAACGAGCGATTTCTTCAAATTCTTCTCAGCAAGTACGGTGAAGATAGCGAGCATTACTATTTTTGCTTCTTGTCTTTTTATTATCACTATATTCTATTCAATTCATACCTTCATCGGTTTACGCAAACGAAAAACTTGGAAGATAATCACACGACTTGTATGTGTTCGTACAGAGAATTACTTCCCAGAATTTGATTTCATGTCTATAGATCGGTGTTTTTTTCACTCTGTTGTTTCTGTCGATCTTGACCATCTCAATATCAGCTATCTATCGTGAATCACAATTCGGTAATCAATACACATCGACTAGTTCTTCGAGAGTCCAAATAGGTGCCGCCTATGCGATGGCTGTAAGTTCTCTTCGTTTCTTCATGTTTCCATGCCTCTCATCGTTGATTTTATACTAGAGTCTCGGCCTGATCGCTGCATCTCTTCTCCTAATCGATATTATTTGCCGTTTATTAACTATTGGATCAGTACAAAAACGACAACGAAGACGAAAAAGACGTGTTAATGTTATATCTTAGATAATTGAACAGAAGAATTCTTTCAATATTTTTTCTTCATATACATATATAGAAAAAAAAATCGTCTGTGAATTGGTTTTTGAAATGAATGGCTTCTTTCGAACTGGTCTTAAGCTGAGGAGGCAGGAAATTTCCAACGAAAGATACTTCCATCGGCGCTAACAGAGATGATATGTTGAGTATTAGGACAGATTTTAACTTTTTTCACTTCACTACCATGACCAATACCAACACTGATCACATCGCCTTCATTGTAGCGCCATAACTAAATGTTGCATGTGTTTTTATATGAAAATAAATATCTGAACTGTCAAGTGTGACTTACTTTCACTAATTTGTCTGCGCTGACAGTAACGAAATAGTTACCAGCACTGTCAATATCAAGGCCATTAATTGTTCCACTTTTCGATGCTTCAAGTTCGCGAATTTGTGCGCCGTTGGCTGCTTCCCAATAGCCAATTTTACGGTCGGTACCACCTGTGACGATATGATATTCTTCAGGATGATAAGCAACACACTGAAAAAGTGTATTTTCAAATAGAACTTGGTTACGAGCGAAACGTCTGAAAATGAGAAATTCAGTCAATATTTTCCGCGTCAACTATTCCTCATACTTCAAATTCCAGATAATGCATGTACCATCAAGCGATGCGGTAACGCATTCTGTGTCGGATTTGTTAATACGAATGGAAACAACAGCATTCTTATGTTCTTTCATTGTTGCTAATAGTTCGCGTGAATTTGCATTGATTTGCCAAACTCGAATCATGCCTTCGCCACCACCGCTAATAATACGTCGGCAATCATTGGTCACTGCAACGGCTGTAACGCCACGATGATGCGCATCGTTAATTGTGAATATTTCGCGGCCTGATTCAGGATAGAATGCACGAATACGACCATCATCCCAACCACTAAAAGCAAGGCGTTGGCTTTTTCAAACTCAAAACTTTATTATTACCTAATGATCATTTTACCATCGCGGGTAAAGCAAAGTGAGTTACATGTTTTATTCGCTTGTGAAATACGCAATAATTCATTACCAGTTGGCGCATGCCAAATACTAAAACACAAAGAGCGCATGAGAATTGCCAATGAAAAACAAAATTTGTCCTTCTTCATCTACCGAATATCTTGATAGCTGCATGTACCGAATAACTCTGAAGTACCACTAAAAAATCAAAGCAAAATTCTTCTAAGATCAATATACGAGTATATGTCGCTTACAATGGAAACGCAATGTCATTGATCTGAGAATTATGACATGTATTGATTAATTCCATTTTCCAATCACCATAATTAACTTTATAGATATGTGATCGATCGGTACCAATAAAGATCTACATTGAACAATCGTTTTCCAAGTTTGAAACAAAATAAAAGATAGCATACCATGTGGCCCTCTCCTCGTAATGCTAACGATGTGATTTCGCCCAGCGCTTGTAAAGATCTATAACGAAAGGAAATCATGTTTGAAACTTCTTTTCGAAGGATTCTTTATTCGTACTTCAATGATTTGAATGTTTCTTTTTCTGTTATGTGAATTTTGCCTTCACCTGTGCCGACTAAAACATCGCCATTTACTAGTGCTTGCATGGCAGTAATACCCATCGAGTATTTTTTCTTTTCCGGTCCCATTGTTTTGAATTGAGTAGCTGGAATATAGATCATCAAGACATCACCTGTTGTTGTTCCACAATAGAGATGTGTGCCATCAAGTGATACCTAGAAAGTAGCAAAATGATTCGAAAATTTTCCAGTCTTGCCGTATACTTACAGTCATACATTTGATGATACGTTTAATGACGCCTGTATTGATATCCGTTGCTCGAATTTTTCGATTAGCTACATCTAATTGCCAGAATCGAATGGTACCACTATAGTGGCAAATGTGCTGGTTATTGTATCGAACAATTCCTATCAAAATAGTTGCTTACTTTCCCGCGCTGTAGAATTGAAAGTCATCTTCTTTTGCTGCAGCCAAACAATAGGTAATTCCAGCGCTTTTGGGCTGAGCTGGACTGCCGCATACAGGTTCTTTCGTGTCAACGTTCCAGACAATGATAGCACCATCATCTTGACCACCAAGTGAAATTAAGAATCGATCTGATGCGGAAAAAACTAGATCTTCAATTTTGACCTTGTGCAAAACAAGACGCGCGTACGGTTCACGGTTAGCATAATCCCAAATGATGATATCGGCCTACGAAGAATTTCATTCGATTAACAACAAAAGAAATCATTTCTTCATAACACTACCTTAAAGCCCATGAATGTAACTTGACCTGAAGCAATGTATTTACCATTATTTGATATTGTTACACAAGAGATATTATTGTTATGTCCAAGAAGAAATTCTTGTTGTCGTGTTTGCAAGTTTTCAATAACTAAATTGCATCCCAATGGATAGACCATATGAACACGATCCGGGTGTAATTTAAGGCCATGAGGAACTTTTCCTGTATGATCAAAATAGGACTAGAAAATGTTCAATGCTTAGAAAGATATTTACCTTCAAATCCGATAGTTGATTCAAGTTCCAGTCTTTGCAATGTATCAAGTCGTTCGGGTTGATTATTAGTGGTTGTCATCGTGAACGATGGTTGAGTATGTGATGACGAGAAAGAAGAGTAACAAAACACTAACACACTGTTTCTTTTTGCAGTTTAATGTGTCGAAATGTTGACAACCATTTTCTGCATACCATCGCTTAGCAATGACCAAGAATAAATATATCTATCAATTTACGACATTCAAAACTAAGTAGACTCGAATACGATGACCAGCCAAGAGAATCATATTTTCGCATGATTTTGTAACTTAATTGATTAAACTTTATTTTCTATCATTGTTCAAATAACTAGCGACATCTAGTTAAATATACCTGCATGAAAATGTTACCTCGATGACTTTTTTAAAATCTCAGATTCATTAGCAACCGACAGAAATAATGTGCGGCGGACTAACTTCGAAGTTATTGCGATTGGAAAAGCGTGATATGGTAATCTGTCATCAGTATGTACGAGCAGTAGGGTGCAAAGTACCCAACAGGTACATAAACCGCATCGATATGTTACGAATGTTAACATATTTCATTCTTATTGCGAACATTCGTTTCGATATAAATTTTTCGTAAACGAGAAATGTCTAATGAATACGAGTGTATTTTTATATTCGTGACATAAACAATAGCCGACAAAAGAAATTTAAAAAAAGAGAAGAAGACATAAAAAGAAATGGAATTCGCATTCTCTTAACTATTCAGTTGACATACAAACATTGAGTGAGACAAAACGACAAACAAAATAAATCTATCTTTAACTATTTCCATACTATACAACACGCTGTCACCGGACTATCAGCATCGGTAATTAATTTTTTATCTTCACGTATGCCAAAGCCAGCAAATAGTCCATGAATAATCCAACTACCGATAATTGCATAGTAATCATCATATTTCGGTAAGGTAAACAGTTGTTGATAGATACAATCACGGTCTGTAAACTTGCCTTGTGTTTCATCCAGAACAGAATCACCTTTGACATCATATAATGTTACATTATGACCACAACGTCCAACGATCGGCTTTTTCACGTATCCAGCTTGTTTTAAGTCATCGGGCAATGTCCATTCGCTACGTAATAGATGTGGATGATTAGGAAACATTGACCATAGGACAGGTAAAATTGCTTTGTTACTTGGAATAACTTTCCATAATGGTTCAACAATCTTAATCTGATCGTTTAATGCAATTTCGCATAGACGCGGATGTTCGCCATTGATTTTCTTGTTTAATTTTCCTGTTTTTTCAGCTTCTAAATAATCCGTAAATATACTCTCCCACATCCACGTTTTCCATACCAGTTGAACCTCGTGACCTTCATTATCTACAATTTTCGAATCTTTCCAGTACAAATCATCATACAGGATACATAATTTCGAATCAATATTGGCTTGTTTTAAAACATATTGCATATATAATGACGTTAAGATTTCATCTTGATCGTTGTCAATTAGAAGGTGAACACGTTTGACATTCAAATGTGAACAAATCAATTGCCAGTTTTTAAGCATTAATCGATGAATTTGAAAGCCAGACATAAATGAGTGTTCGAGTTTGACGGCTTGTGCCCACTTTTCTTGAATAACAGCGAATTCGAATAGGGCCGATGCACTATCAGCATTGTATTCGAATACCTTCAATTGTTTCCCATCAAATGCTAAATCAAATCTTCCCGTCAGCGATAAGTCTTTATCATTCAACCACGATTGGCGAATCTTCGGCCAGAACACTTCCGGTATACAAAAGCGTTTCAACATATCATCATTTTCCACAACATAGTTCGTTGCATCTAAAAACATCTGATGTAATTCATTCGATGTAGCTCCAATAGATAAAGTCAAATCTTGATCAGCTTTGTAATAAGGTAAAGTATCCGTATCAGCACGAATGAGATTAGGTCCATATAATTGAATGAAATATTTCTCAGCTGGATCGTCTTCGTTTAACCAATGGTCAATTTGATGAAAACTTTTATCAGTTATGGATGAACGTTCTAATTTGCCAATCGGATTCGCTTGTTGATATTGTTTAAGTATCAAATCGAGTCTCGTTTCATCTAATGGCTGCAATTGATCTTTATCATCAATTTCTATCCAGCCACATATATCATCTTCATCCTGTATATAGTAATTCCCATCCTCTTTCTGTACTAAAGGAATTTCACGCGCATAATCATCTGACCAGCTATGATAGATATAATTCTGTTCGGCAATGCGTACAAAACCGGGAACGACATCACAGATGATCGCCACATGACCAAAAGGTAATTCTGCATTACGTGGATAGATTAGTAATGAATCAGGTTTAGGTTGATGTGGTGAACCATTCGGATGAAATGTCAATGGGAATCGTTTACCGTCGATAACGCATTCAACGTATTTCAAATCGTTCCACATATCGGCAGCACATGGAATAGGCGGGAAAACGCAGCTTTTACGCATTAGTAACCATCGACGAGCGAACTCAACGCATTGCCATTTAAAACCCATAAAAATTCCGTGCAAATAATGACGTTCGACGGAGAAAAAATCATCATCACCATTGGAATACGCATGAACATTCGACGAAGCAACGCCTTGCACTTTATTATACGGTAGTAGTTGATTTTTACTTTGTAACATGATAGATTCCCTACCGAGAAAAGAATGAATGATATGTGAATGTGTTTTTTTTAGATAGAAGCATGTTATCTCTCTCCCTCTTTCTCTCGCTATATATATATACACAAATTAAAGATAAGGGACAAAACAGAATGGAGAGAATTGAAGAGGTGTGTATGTATGCGAATCGAAATCACTGTTTTCTACGCCTTCAGTTTTAGCCGGAGCTATGTTGAAGGGAACCATCGATTAGTGCTCACATCTTTCTTCTCAATCCGTGATACGAGAATAGGAATGTCGCTAAAGTCTTCGGGAAGATTAAAAACGTCTGAAAAACAAGCCTCGAGAGAGTTAATCGAATAATAAAGTTGATGGATATTTCTGTTTCGAAGAGAATACAACACTTACATTTTTGTGACAGATATAATGTAATTTTCACAATTGTATATAGAAGTAGATGTTGGTTTCGATTGTCTATGTATTTTTGCGTGGATTTGTATGTGTTCTTCAAGAAATCAGAGAAAAAATTTATATATAGAAATAAGAAGGAAAGAAAAGCTTTTAACAGTCATAATGACAAAGCAAAAGTTTTGCTTTGTCAGGTTATTCGATAGTCTCGAAGATTCTGTGTTCATGGTATTGATGATTGTGTTTTCACCAGTTCTGCCGCTTCCTTTTTGTACAAAAAGAATAACTCTCAGCATGATGTGGCAAAAAAGCGATGACGGCTATGGACTTAGCTCTTTGTTTATTTCATCAAGAGGATGCATAACCTTATGGACGCGAAAGAACAAATACACGATGGAATAACAAACGTGCTTGTTAGAACGGAAAAGAAGTCAAAATAGACTTGGTACGGCAAGGAATAAGCCAACATAGATAGTAAATAACAGTGCAACAGAGTGAGAAAAATAGAATGTTGAGGGTGGATTTGAGACGCGCAACACGTGCATTGTATGAGTTAGCAAATCGAAAGAAAATTATTTAAATACTTGTAGATGCCGGAGATGAATAATGTAGAGCAAAGAATTACTGAGAGGTAAAGTTTAACGAGTAGATGTTTACGGTAAACCACTGTCGGCATCGGCAGAAGAAAACGACAGAATGAGTCATTTTAACCAATAACAAACATTGTCAAAAGAGTAGGGATCTGAGTGAGTGCAAAGATGGTGTGCTGAAGAGACGAATGAGTGATGAAGCTTTATATCAACTAGAATTTTCTTATTCTTTCTAGTTTTTGAAAAGGACTTCGATCGTATTGATGTATTTTTTCAACAACAAAACAAAATCTATTTCCATTCATTTAAAAACGCTGTATGAAATGCTCGAAATCGTTCGACCATGTCTTTCATTTGATTAATCGGTGGAAGAATTGTTGTGCGTAAATGATGTGTACCAGGCCTTTGTTTAAATCCACTACCAGGTACAACACAAATGCCAGTCTTTTCTAACAATTCAAAACAATAAAATGCATCGGGTGCCATCTTTTTCGATTTAGCGTGTTCGATTGCTCGTTGTGGAAGATCAACACGTGGAAAAGCATACATAGCACTAGAATACAAACAACTTCTTTTGTAATTTATGATTCGTGTTTAAACTTACCCCATGACAGTATTGCATTGAAAACCTTCGATAGAATTGAAGAGTTCGCTAACAAGATTCGCCTTTTCTTTTAGGCGATTAAGAACGTCTGTACGTTCTTTTTTATACAATTCATACGATTGTTCACCTTCTTTTGGAGGATTGATGATTGCACCCATCACAGCTTGACCCCAAGATGTTGAACATAAACATGCGGATATCAATTTATTAACTTGCATTCGAACATCTTTATCGATATTAATCAGTTCATAGTAAGCACCACGAGAGCCACATCTCCAAAGAAAATATCAATCGTAGTAGTTCGAATGTTACTAATCTATCTGAACTTACTCGCCATGCCAACCTTTTGATGCTGAATGAAACGAAGCTAAATTCATAAAAGAAATAAGTAACAAATCGTTTTAGGATGAATAACTTCACCCATTTCCATATGATTGTATGGTGATCCTAAATCCATCAAAACTTTTTTAAACGAATGAAATTTCGAATCGGGTAAATAAATATTTTCTTGATAGACTTCATCGGCCAATATAAATAAACTGTGCTTTTCCGCTAAACAATCGAACGACAATATGTATTCACATGATATGACATGAATTCTTACCAAACCGGATGATATTTTCGATATTTTCTCGTGAAAGAACTTGACCTGCACAACAAGACAATAACAGATGGTGCAATGTAAACAAGTTTTCTGTACCTGTTGGGTTCCCAGGATTAATTATAACAATACCACGTGGTACACATCTATCCTTTGATTCGTTTAATGCGCGTTCTAATTCATCAATATTCAATGCCCAATTGTTTTCTTCATCAAGATAATATTCAATCTGATAGGCACCATATTCCGACAATGTTGCACTATACAACGGGTATTGTGGAACAGGTATCATCTAATAGTAAACTAGTACTATATACGAACGAAGAAATGCATTCGAACATACGATTCCCGATGGTTTCGATTGATCGGTATTCATTAACAATTTGATTACTGTTTTGATTCCATCAGAAGCGCCATTACAGAGATAGATATCACTTGGATTAGCCGGATAGCCATCTCGTTCTTCGATATACTTGGCAACATCTTCGCGGATCGTAATCAAACCTTGACTTTCTGTGTATGCTCCTAAACTTTCTCCACCACAAGCGGATAACAATCGCTGAGCGCGTTGTTTAATATCCGATGGAAAATCCGGCGACTCCATAATTGATGGACATGTACAACCAGCGACAAACTGTGAGAAAATTTCCGTATGAATTCATAATAAAATTAATCACAATAGATTCTTACTTGACGAATGTATGTAATCGGATGTTGATTTCCACTGGCATGACAATCGCCGATGTTTGCACGGATAACACGATCGAACGCGAAGTTGTGATTTCCCTAAACGAAAAGTCGATGTTTAGAGATACGAGATCCAGTTATGACTACACCTTTTTAAGTTGCTTTTCAATTTCAGCAGCACGAATCACGATCGGACCTCGAACAGCATATTCTACTTCGATCACACGCGGGTTTAAATTTTCTATCGTCAATGTTCGATTATTCAGAAATGCATTAGTCATGATAGACAGATATGTCGTGATACCAAAGTTAAACTCTTATCGAAACAGAAGACAACAGCAGATGTCTAATATATATTCTTACATCTGCCTCCGTGAAAAGGAAGAAAAAAAAAGACTGTTACAAGTACAAGGCGCACTATATGATATGAATGACAAATCAAATATAGATAATAATGCTAAACAAGCATAGAATCCATAAGTTAAAAAGTTTTTGCACTATTGACAGAGAACTCAATGGCCTTCTGAGAATATCTGAATTAGCACATGAATGAAACGTTCGACTGATGAAAGTTTTGGAAATCAATGGAATAGTGCGTATTTCTGACTTTTCATAGCAATATATTTGCCATCAAAATCCACGGGAATAAGCATAGTGAATATTCGGATCTCGAAGTAAGATACTGACAAGTGTTATCTGAATGATAAGCGCGTATCATTTCGTTGAAGTCGAAGGTTAAAGTTGAAAATTGAAAGATTAGTAAAACACGCGTTATATCACAAGGTGTAATTAGAGAGTATGCATTTGCATGCGAAATATTAGTAAATTATTCGAAGAAAAAAAGAGCGTTCATATCATCCGTATCGTTAGTGTCGCTAGAAATCACAGGTTGAATTATGAAATCATAGAGGTCGTTTCTTGTTGATCGGCTTTCATCATGGTTGTTGTTTCCATAGTATCGATAAAAATGCATATCTACACGTAATTCTTCGATTGAATATCTTCAGACTATCATCATATCAAAAATGAACCATGGAGGAGTGCGGATAAAAAATGCTCGCGAAACTTATGTTGACCAGTTACCGCATGGTCGAGGTATTTCATTTCGAAATGCAGGAAAAGCTTGATTTAATTGAAATTGTTCTTATATTAAGGATTGACGGGATATATGAATAAGAAGCGAAAGCCTTTCACTCATTTGAATACAACCGATGACTTTGATCTTGGATATCGGAGCACGCCGGATTATTTACGGCAACTAGCACAACAAGATTCTTCCATACCAACTGAATTACTCTTAGCAAGAAATGTTCCTCGCACGAAAAGTGCCAGTGAAATGACTCCAAGAAATAATGGTAAGAGCACATGATCATTGTTCAAGGTTATGTTTTCAGTATTGTACGTTGATTTTGTAGTCAGTCGGTCAACAATGGGAAATCCGAAATATAAAGCACAGGAAGATTATTACGATGAAATACAATCATTGAAACAGGTTCGACGAAGATGTTGTACGAAGTTTTTGTATGATCATTTGTCTTGTTGTTGTTGTTTATTATAGGAAATGAAAACATTACGAGAAGAAAATAGTAATTTTCGAGCCAAAATTCGACGCTTGGAGGAAGATAATGCTCGGAAGATAAAAGAGATCGATGCTCTGTATAATACGAATAAAGTATTTTATTAATTAGATGTTTATTATCTTCAAATCAATGTTCTTCTAGGATGGAGATCTTCGAAGAACGTTAACCGGCTCATCGACTGATCGAAACAATAATAACTCCTCAACTGCGGTTTGTTACTGTTCGTGTTTCAGTGTATACGATTAATCTTTCGTTTTCTAGAGTGTTGTTATGAGCTTGAAACAACGAGTATTCAAATTGGAGGGTCAATTGAAGCAGAAAGAAACAACGATTGAGTATGATCTGAATAGCACATTCAGGATATGGTAGAAATGATTCTGTAATTTTAGTGAAATGAAAAGCGATCCAAGATGGACGAAAAGTACTGAATTCGAAATGCAAAATCGTGCTCTGTTCAGTGAATTGGAAAGACAAAAAGTAGCCCGATTGAACTACATTCAACAAAAGTAAACGAAATTTGATACCACTTTCTTGCAGCTTACTTGATTTCTGTTTAGTGATTATATGGCGACGTTAGATGAAGAGCAAAAGAATGCTGTACGAAAATTAAATCGAGAGAAGGACGAATTAAAAAAAGAAAACGAGAATTTGAAGAAGAAATTGGAAGATCCTGAAAAAGGAGGTCGTGGTGAACCAACATCTGTGCGTTCATCAGTACGTACGAAATCTTTTCCAGTATTATTGATGATTTTAATTGAATGTTATTCTTTCATGCAGGATCGTGGTAATGACTCGAAACTTCAACACAAGATTGATAGTCTTCAGAAAGATTGTGAACATTACGAGCACGAACTTGAACAGATGAGAGATGATTTGAACCAGATGCGTGTAAAACGTGATCAGTTTCGAGATAAGTACGATCAAGCCAATGAAGATCTCGCAGAAGTCAAACGTGATCGCGATCAACTTCGTAAACGACTCGATGAAGCCAAAGACGAACTGGAGAGATATACAAAGCAGAAGCCGACTGGTCGTTCATCGCCCATATCTCGATACGATGATGAAATACATGGCAGTCCGAAACTGAAGTCGGCGTTTCATAGACCTCAATCACCCATGGACGGAAAACGAACAACACCGCCATTGAAAGCTTCCGCAAGAAACATGCATAATAACAGTTGGACTGCGTAAGAGAATACCTTCGTTGTACTTCATCAGCGTATCTTTGTTTTTTTTTTCAGAGATGATGACAGACGTGTGAAAAATTTCCGAGAAAAACGGGCTGCTACTGTCATTCAACGAGGATGGCGGCATCATAATAAATCAGAAAAAAATAAAGCACGTGATTTCACGAGAGCAAGACAAGAAAATGCGGACAAAGTAAATACTGATGCTTTTTCTAATTACACTCGCTTGATTTTGTTTAGAGGGGTTCAAGAATCGGTTCGCCAGGGGTAGAACACATTTTCAAATCAACACTGTATTCATACTCATTCATTATTCTTGCTTTTGGTATTTAGAGACCATCAGAAACGATACCATCACCACGTGCAAGTGCCAATTTTGAAAGACCTGGTAGTGGTGCGCCAAAAAATCGGCCATCATCAGCAAATCATTCTCAAGACGTAACATTCAGCCATGTAAATCTTATTAAAATTCGTCTTTCTTTATAGTCTGCTTTGAGAACGGTTCAAGCTTCATTGCGTGGACATTTAAATCGGAATGAAATTGGCAAAAATCAAGATCGCTCCTTCGATATTCCAGCTAGATCACAATCTCCTGCTCGCTTAACGAGACCACGACCAGTTGGAAATGACGACGACGATGACGACGATATCGTTGTTACATCAAGAACCTCGCCGACAAAATTTTCGTCGTAAGCTATCAAGTAACATCAGCCGATCAAATCTAACTAATCTGTCTACTAGTGAGAAATTTCGACAAGAATCTCCTGATCGACCAATTGGATCTTCAAAACAATCATTGCGCAATGGTACGACAACGAGAAAAATAGTTTTCATTTGAAATTATAAGGTGGATACCCATGTTTCATTTAGATAAGAGTGAATACAATAACCGAGATCCTCTGGAAAAATTTGTAAGTTGCTATGATGTTCAATTACATTACGAATGAATTTTCGATGTAGAGAAAATCTCCTACGCCGTTCGACGTTCGACCTCAGTCACCAGTTGCAGGCAAAATCGGTGGTTCTAAACAAGATCTTCCCAGTGATCGAAGTGCGTACCCTTGAACTAAATATGAACTACTATTTGAATGTACGTCATTTAGACAAATTGGGATCCGGCAGTCGAATATCGCAGAATGATCAGGGATCAGCATGGAAATCGGTGAGTGTATCGAGGCAATCATGTATATTTACCTTCTGTTTTATTCGGTCAATAGCGTCGTCCAGTATCTCCACCAAACGACAATCCTCGAGCGCAATCACCGGCCCTCGTTAGAAATCGTGATTCTGCTCAAGATATGCAAAGTGATCGACGTATGCATACGAGATATCTCTGCCGTTTTTCTACTCTTTTCGTTCTTCTATTGTCCAGAGAAATTTGGAAGTGGCACTCGGATGTTAGCGAACGATCGCGATTCGCCTGCGATGGTAATTAATCTAAGTTTAGTGTTATGTTATGTTTTATATGATTTTTTTAGCGTCGACCTGCTTCTCCGCCATCTGACGATCGTCGACCTTCAACGCCGCCCGTCGGTAAAACTAATAGTTCTAGAACAAGTCTATCGAACGATGGAAGTACGTTCAAAAGAATTATTCTTATTCAATTTAATGTTCTTTTCCATCTCTCCTTCCAGGTAAACTTGGTTCAGGTACTCGAATACGACCCACCGAACGTGATTCCGCTTCAAAATTAGTAACTATCTCACTTCCACTAAAAGCATCCCATTACAAATTGATTTTTCGAATATTTAGGCACGTCCTTCTTCTCCGTTAGATGATCGTCGGCCAGCTCGTCCAATCACACCGGAAAATCCCTATCCAGCCGCAAGAAAAAGTCCCAGTAATTCTAAACAATCGCTAAAAAACATAACTGAACATGACGACGACGATGATGTTTTCTAACGGATAATCGTTTTCTTTGAATTTCTCTCTTTTTTTTCTATTGGGGTGTGTATATTTTTTATTTGTTTCGCATTCAACCGAAGTAAAAGAAAAACGAAAAACAATGTCAATTTCTATGAACAAGAGAAAAGAATGCACATTTATTCATCGAAAGGAACTTCAAACATGAAAATAGACAAGAAACGACAGGTGATTTTGTACGGAATAGGTTCGGCCTTATGCGACGAATCGCGTACATATTGTAGGATAATATTGTTATGTATCACGGTCTCTATGTGACGATGAAGCCAAATGCAGTTTGAAGTTGAACATTATTTACTAAAGTTCGGAAAAGACGAATAACGCCAATCAGTTGAATATGGATATGAGGAATAGTAATCTAAATTGCAAAGAAAATTGTTAGGTGTTGGTTTGTCTTCTTGACGTTTTACCTGATGCATGCGGTGGTATTGGGAAATTTGGCCCTGCTGATGGTGGGTAAGATGTTGACGATGAACAGAAGCCATCATTAGATTCTAAAAGATCAAATGACAATGTCAACAATGAGTTTAGATGAGTAAACCAAACGAACGTGTTGCTGGTACATCAAATTCACTCTTCATTGAATTATTTCCCATAAATTGCTGATTTCCATTATGAAATGACGATTGAGTCGAATGCTCGCTTGCGAAATCATTGGTGTTATAATTCAAATAATTATTTGATGGATACATTGAATTCCATTTGGCACGACGTTGTTCGACATACGCCTGGAAGAGATAGAAGAAAGCGCATGAAAATAAGTTGAGAAGATGAAAAGCGATTCGTTTGCTCTACTTTGATGACAAGTTCGGTTAGGCCAGTCGCTTTGACGATCGATTCGATTTGAGCGTTATCAGCCCACGGATTGTCTTTGAAAAATTTGTCTAGGAAATCAATTTGCTCAGCAGAAAATGCTTTCTGGTCTTGCATTTCTAAACGAAGAAAGGAGAAAAATAATTCTAATTCCTCGGAGAATTTCGTCATTTGGTCTTTGTCTAGTTCATCATTTTTGACAGTTTGACTAATGGTCTCTTACGGATGTGATGACTTGGTCGAGATACATGATGATGGTGCAAACGTTTAGTTGAATATTCATGGGAATGTAAACTGTATTGAGAATGATTGAGTAAACTGTGAATGCTATAACCATTGGGCGATGCAGAAACACCTGTTGCATGACTTCGACTGTCGTCTTCATTGCTTGTTGTACTATTGACAACATGTGGTGTGGTTGGGTCCGTTGTAGTTGTTATTGAAGTTTCTGTTGATGTTGTGGGTGACGAATTAGGATGATGGTGATTGAGTTTCGAATTGTCATTTAAACTTCCACGATTACGAACGATTCTAACAAGAAAGAATTCAATAGACGAAACTGATCAAAGAAGAGGAAGAAAGAAAGAAACAAATAAGAATGGGTCGGCAAATCAATGTCGTCGCGAGTCATTAGTTGACAAATAACATTGATTCTTTTTATTCACATAATACACAATAGAAGAAGAAGATGAAAAATTCATTCACTATACCTATTAATCGAGCTAACACTTGGTACTTTATCGGAATCACATATTCCATCTGCAATCAAACGTTCTCGAATTTCCCATGCAAACATCGTTGGCGCTTGACCTTTATAATTGCTTATAGCATCAACAACTTTTGGTGTAGCAACCTTTGGTTTGCTGCCGCCGATAATTCCTGGTCGAATGGAACCTGTTTCATGATATCTAAAGTATTCAGATTAGAACGCGTGTCATTCTGAGAAATCGAAGTTTTACCTTCCAAGAATTTTACTAACACATCCGTGAGAAACACGTAATTGCCGACTTATATCGCATGGTCGCACGCCTTGTTTGGCTAAATCAACAATTGATTGACGGACAAGATCAGGCAATGGTCGACCGTTGACGAAAACTCCACCGAGTTGATTGACACCTCCATGTCCTATGTCGAAAGAAAGAAATGATGAGTTGTGATAATAGATAAGATCGATTCAATGGAGCACAAAGGGATGAAAAAAAAACAGAGGGAGGCAAGAATCGATAGGGGAAAAAATACAGAGCACCTACCGAATTTGGAATATCGGTATTGAGCTGCAACGAACTGGTTGAACGGAAACATGGTTTCGCACAGTAATAAGTCTCTTTTGCACAAACGAGAGACAGTCTTCAAAAGTCAATGAAGGGAAGAGAAAGAAAGACAGAAACACGATGATGAAGAGAAGAAGAAAAAAAGAACAATCTCCAATAGAGCGTTACTGCTTGTGCTATGTGTATATGTATGTATATGATAGATTGAATATTTCTCCGAGTGCAACAGTGTCAAATGACGAGAAAAGCCAATGATTCGTCTCCAGTTGGCTGAGAGAAAGAGAGCAACTTGATTAAAAGAGACGCCAACAACTATTGTACCGAATCGATATGCATCAGTAGTATTTCGAGGAAAAAAAGAATTGAAATTCTATATATATAGAAAGAGAGAGAGAGAGAGGAAACGACTCCGTTCGTGTCTTTTTTCTTCTCTCAAGAGAATTGAGAATAGACAGAGTTTGTTGTTTCTTGTTTAATAGATTAAGTAATAACATTTCTCTCTTCAGTCGATGTTCGAATCAAAATTTTCTTCCCCTTCGTTTTGTTCAAAGCAACCATCTCGTTGATGAAAATAAAAATTGCTTCTTCTCAGCCTTCAACCAATAAGAAAGGACTAAAATCACATTTTTGCACTTTCTTCCACCAATAACGATTCGAACGCGTGTGCACATTTCAAGTGAACTACTAATCATTCAAGATCATTTCCTATGAATGAAACGAAGATGTTCATTGTCGACTTAATTACATATACAACACATTGACATCGATCTTCTTCGTTTTTTTTCTCTCGAAACTCTCTGAGGAATAACTTGTGACGAAATATTTTAACACATCTGCAGGAGAAAAGAAAATTGTATGAGAAGATAAATTGTGCTGTTATTTCAGTTTCTCAATCGACGTCATTACTCAAATCGCAGTTTCTTATTAACAAGAAACTTGTCGACATACAGCGAAAGTTCATTAATTATTTTGTGTTTGAATTCTTCCATTTGGCTGATTTTAATTAAACAAAAAGGCTCTCAACTTGTTCAATTTGAGTAAAAATTGTCTTGTATGCTTCGATGAACGAATGTGATTTCTTTTTGTGTTGTGTTTCTCGCAGTACATCTGTGCAATCTTTTTTTCTAATACAATTATAAGACAAAAAAAAGAAGAAGGAAACTGACCAATATGTGTCAAATCAAGGCGAAGAAAAAGATGAAAGATATAATCGATAAATTAGGTTAATAATGATATCGAATCACTAGAGACTTGAAATGGAATTAGAAGTTGTTTTATTGAACAAACAAAATTAAGCGAAAGAACAACATAAAGAACCTCCCGACATGCATGATAAATAGACAATTGAATGTTCATAACGTACAACATTAGATCTCAATTGTCGATGAGGTAATGCTGATGTTGATCGCTTGCATCGACACATTTGTCATACTAATGAGTATGAACTTCAACAGGTCAGAAGATTCGTAAGAATGTGTTCGAATCAAGCGGTACTGTCAGAGATTTAAATGAAGAATACATCTTATTTATTTGAAATAGAAAAAAATGCAATGCAAACCAAAAGAAAAGATAGGTATCTAAATAGAATGATGAAAAAATGTAAGTGAATATGTTTAAAGAGACAGCATACAATAATATAAATGTCTTCAGCACACCAATATGACAAAGATAGAATAGAGAGAGAGAGAGAGAACAGAACAGATTCATTTCAAAAGCCCAGAAGAAAAATATTTGACACATCCACAAGGCAAAATCACTTCTAGATAAAAAAAAACAACCTACAAGAAGAAAGTATTTATGGACGGTACGATGAGATTAAGAATGTTAGAAGAAGCGCAATGCAAAAGCAGAAAAACTGAATAAGAAGAGATTAATGCGACTCGAATGGTTTGAATTGAAGTCGAATTTAAAAAAAATGACGAACTAGTCTAAGGCAATTAGAAAAAGACATTCACTGTTAGAAAACGATGACACTGGTTTCGTAGTTTTATTTGTTTCTGAGAACTAAGGCTTCTAAACGAGTACTTGTTTGTCCTTTGTTTCACAACGGCTGGTCACACTGTTCTGAAAGAGTCTGACATGTGTGTGTGTGTGCGTTTTCTAGTCTCCAAAGGCAGGTGTAGAGAAATATGTAAAGTGAGAGAGAAGAAAAAAATATATATGAAATTGAAAAGAGTTTTAAATTTTCAGTAACGTGGTCGTGAGGCTCGAGCGCGCGAACTTGGCGATGAAGGACCGAGTTGAGATGGTGAGGCTGCGGCTGCCGCTCTCATTGAACGTAAAGCAATCGATGGTGATAGTGTACGTCGTGTTGGTGAAGAATGACGTACAGGTGGCTCATGAATATCAGCTAATCGTTTAGTTTCGTGATCTAAAAGAACGGGATCAAGACCGTGAGGATCTTGAGAAACGAATGATAATGAATCAGTAATTTCTCGACGAAGTGCATTGATTTCTTCGCCATTTACTAATGAACGATTCAGAAATGATTGACGTTTACGCAGTTCTTGATGAAGTTGCTCTTTTAATGAGGTGATCTGAAGATTTCGAAGAGAAAATCCAATTAAACAATCTGTAGACGGAAACCAAGCGATGTTACCTGTTCTTCGAGACCTTTAACACGGGCTCGATGTGCTTTCTCTCGTGCTTCTAAAGCACGCTCAGCAGCGGTCTGAGAAGATCGAATACGTTCAGTTTCAGCTTCTGTTTCACGTCGATTTCGAGTTGTTAAGTCAATCAAACTAAAAGAAAATATTCATCATTATTTGATTTACGAAAATTTCACAAGATCAACTACCGTTGTGCATGTTGTTGTTCGGATTCATTCAAAGCTGCTTGTAAGTGTTCGACTTGACGTTGTAAAACAATGTTTTCTTCTTCTAATCGACGGAATTGTCGATCGAATTCCGCGCGATCCCACGAACGAATAATATCTTCAGTGACTACACGTTCACGTTCGACCTATGGGACAAGTTTCTACTCGAAGAACACATCGATCAAAGCGACAACGTACTTTATCCAATGTTTTTCTCAAAACATGTTTATCTTTTTCTAAACGTAGTTTGGATCTTTCAGCTTCGCGTTTCTCCAGATCAAGATTGCCTAATTGGCGTTGTAAAAGAGCATTCTTCTCTTGTAATGCTTGTTTATCAGCAGTTAAAATCGAAATCTTTTGAATCACTTCTTGTTCACTCTCTTGCCGTTGAACAAGAAGCTGAAACACAAAGCAACACATTTCTCTTATCTCCGTCATCGTTCTCCTTCAGTCTGTATATGACATACTGTATTCGCATTTCGTAATTGATTTTCTAGTTCATGTCGTCTCATTTCTGAATCGGTAACTTCGTTTTGCAGATGATGTACACGTTCGAGTAATTCGTGATTTTGTTTTTTAAGTTCACTAACTTGTGATCTAAACAGACAACAGTTGCTTTATTATTGCCGTTTGAACACTATCGTATCTTTTACCGTGATTGTTCAAGTTTATCTTGGAGAATACGACGTTCAGATTCGTTACTTTGTAAGGCACCTTGAATACCACCAAGTTTTTGTTGTAAGTCAGCTGCTTGATAATTCGTTTGAGATAATGTTTGATTCAATGATTGGACGCGATTTTTCAAGCTTGATTCACCTTCTTCAGCTTTAGCTAATGTCAAAGAAAGACGATCAACGCTCAATTGTAATGATTGACATCTTTCTTCGCGATCCTAAACAAGATGTTTTCTTTTTTCCGTTCGATCGTCATTTTTTCTAATGATTTACTTGAATTTGTCGAATTAATGTTTCACATCGTTCTTGATGTACTTGAATTTCGGTGTCTTTGTCAGTGAGAATCATATTTAAACGTTGAAGTTCACCTTCCAATCCTCGGCGAGTCATTTCTAGCTCAGTTGCACGAGCTTCGGTTTCGTCTAATGCACGTTTCAATTGACGTTTTTCGTCTGTCAAGCGTGATTCGCCCGACTTCGACAAGCCAAGTTTTTCCTAAGAAAAGCAGAAAGCATGTCTAAGTTACCGTTTTCTCGAAATCGGTGCACAACTTACAGTTAGTTGTTTCTTTTCGTTATCCAACGATATTAATTGACGTTCAAGTGCAGTCATTTGATCTAACATTGTCTTACGTTCACGTTCGCTTCGACGGATGGTGTCTTCTTGTAATAGTAAAGCGTTTTGGGCACCTTGTAGACGAGTATCCACACCTTTTTTGTCTATAGAGAGAATAATCAGTAAATGAATACGTGTTTCGAATGAAATATTGATAATTTACCTTCTTCGAATGACATTAACGTTTTTTGTAATTGATTAAAACGTTGTTCAGTTCTTACAAGATTATCTTCTAACTCTTTGTTTGCTCGACGTAGCACAGCAGCTTCAGCTAGATGATAAAGAAAGAAGTATTGATTCGATGGAGATATTTCGGTTAAATAGCTTTCTTACCAGCGCAATCATCGCGTTCACGTTCGGTAGTAATAAAGTTTTGAACAAAGTCACGTAGAGCTGTACGGATTTGTTCGGGATCAACATCAGCTACATCAACATAAGTTGAACCAGGCGAACGACCGCGTTCACGTTCGCCTTCGTAATCAGGTGATCGAGAACGTTGATGTGGACTTCGTGATGTTCGTCGTAAGATGGGCGATGCGCGATTTTCGTTACTATCGAAGCCTTTTGTTGGTGAAATTGGTCGGCGACGAACTGGACTTGGTGAACGACTTCGAAGTCGTGTACTACTGCTACTGCGTGAACCATAGCCAATTGTACGACGTAAACTAGACACGATACTGCCTAATTTGTATTCCGCATCTCGTTTAGCTCCTTCGACACTAAATGAAAAACGAGTTTTTCAGTAAGGTTATTTCCTTTCATAAAGATCAATGTCGATCTTACCGCGCTAATTGTGTATCAAGGGCACTTGCTCGTCCTTCAGCACCTGATAACACGACACGTAATTCCGATATCATTTGATTTGCACCTTCAAGTGCTAATTCAACGTTTCGTCGTTCCTCAATTGCTTTACGTTCTAAAAATTAATCAAATAAAACTCAAGTCATTGTTCTCTTTGGGACTAATTTTCAAGATTGATTCTTACCGAGACGTCGAGCATCTTCGACAGCTAGTTGATAATCTCGATCTTTCATTCGTTGTTCATCTTCTAATTCGACGTAATGTCGTTGAATATTCGCTAATTCTTTACGGAGAACTTCGCGTGATGCTTCTGCTTCGACAAATCTTTGTTTTTGTCCAAACACTTCGCGGCGCATCTCTTCTTCACGTTGTTCATCTTGACGAACACGATCACCCAGCTCTTCGACTTCTTTGGATTTTTTCTTTGTTTCGCCATCGAGCATCTTCACATGACGACGAAGTTCTTGCAATTCACGGCGTGCTTCCAATCGCGAGCGTTCAACATCACGTAAATTATGACGTAACTCATTCGCATCCTTTTGACATTGGGATTTTTGTTCATCAAGCACTAGAAAAACAAATACAAATCACTTTTCATTACTGGAAAGGAGCTTTTCTTGTATACAATACCGATAATCCGTTGTTTGGCTTCTTCGAATAATTGTCGAAGATCGATCTTCTCATTTTCGACACTCTTCAATTTCGTACGTAGATCGTCACCTGAACGTAATGCTAATTCTTTGTCTCGTTGTTCATCTTGTAAGTAGCGTTTCAAATCCTGAATTTCTTTTCGTTGAACAGTCAAGTTCTCTTCGTATTCGCGAACACGTCGATTACTTTCTATCAGATCACGTTTTAATTGATCACGACTATCTTCAGTTAATTTCAATTGAGTTTTCAGTTCGAAATTCTCATGAGTTTGCAATTGTTTTTGTTGACGCAATTGTTCAATATCGGAAGTTAAAGCCTTGATATCACGATCATTAGCAAGTGCAGCATCTTCGAATTTCACTTGGAATCTCTTCAATTCATCTTGTAACGAACCAATCACTTGACGATCTTGTTCGGTACGTAAAGCAGCGTCACGTCGAACTTTGTCGAATTCAACTTGTAAACGTAATAAATCATCTTTTGTTAAGGATAATTTTTCTGCTAGAGCATTTCGTTCAGATTGGGCAATCGAAAGAAGCTAGAAGACAAACGAATGATTATGTATGAGGAAAAAAGAAGAGTTTACCTTCTGTTTTTCGTTTTCTGCTTCGATTAACGCTTGATCACGTTCGGTCACAATGTTCGCCAATTCATAATGTAGATCTTCTTTTTCTTTTTCGTATTTTTGGATCAATTCATCCTTTTCACGTGATAATTGTCGAATGATTTCTTCTCGACCAGTTTCCAAATCCTGACGAAGTTTCTCTCGTTCACGTGTCATACGTTCAATATCATCTTCATGAGCTTGATGATGCTGTCGAATAGCTGATTCTTTATCTTGTTCGAGTTGAGTTAATCGTTGTTGTAATTGATCACGAGTACGAGCTGATTTCTCAATTTCACCATTCAATTCCAAATGAAGTCGTTGGATTTCATTTTGTAATTGTTCTTTGCGAAGAAGTAATTCTTGATTCTCACCTTCCAATTGTTCTTTACGAACTTCGAGTTGACTGACGGTACTTTGCGCTTCGTACAGACTGGTTTCTAAAGCTTCTTTCCTAGTAGAAACAAAAAACACACAAAGATGAATGATTTTTCTCGGATTTTTCTACATACTCAGCACGTAAGGCACTGATTGTCTAGAAGAGAAAAGAAAACTTTCATTTTGGAAAATGTTAGATGAAAAACAAAGAATTTACTGAATTCAATGTTTGATTGTCACGTTCGGAGCCGGTTAAGTCAACAACGAGATTACCACGTTCTTTCGTTAAGTCTTCTTTTTCTTTATTCAATCGTAGATTATGATCGCTCAATCGTTGGATATCTTTCTTCGCGGCGATCAAATCTTCAGCTAATGTATTTTTCAATCGTGTCATCTAGAGCAGAAGCATTTTGCATGTGTATATTCGTAAGACTTCTCATCTTACATGTTGGAATTGTTCGATGATTTCAGCTTTTTCTTTGTTAACAATGCTTAATTCTTCTTCAATTTGTTGACGACTAACTTCTGTTAATTGAAGGCGATGATGAATGGCTGAAACGAAGAGATTGCATGTTTACATGAAGGATCTCTCCAGACGAAATACTCACTATCACGTTCGTTCTCCACATCGATTTTTTCTTGTTCGACTTTGACCAATTCCTAAAGAATAATTCTCATGAATCGAATACAGTACTATGAAGTTCATTACTTGTCGGAGTGTGGATTTATCAAGTTCAACATCAGATTTTTCATTGTGAATAGCGTTCTTTTCTTGTTCGACCTAAATTTTCGAGAAAAAAAAGCGAAATATTTCGAACTGAAACTATCGTCGCCTTACCAAAAGGATGATCTTATTCAATTCGATTTTATCTTGAGCCAAACCTTCGTTAAGTGCTTGAACTTTACAAAGAAGATCTCGTAAAGCTGCACTTTCGCTTCGTTCTTTGCTGACTTCGAGTTCGACTTCAGCGCGATAGGATTCAGATCGTGAAAGTGCATCAGCTAAACATTTCACAATGACTAATCTTTCGGAAAAAAAAGTTCATGAAACTTACAAAGAACAAGTTTTTCTTGTGTGAGAACATCTTTGGCTAGTTTTTCTTTGTGGTATTGCTCGCGTAATTCTGTGACATCTTGTTTCAATTGCGAGATTTTGTTCTCGAGATTCTCGATGATTTTTATACAACGTTCGTTTTCTTTCACTTGACGAATTTTATCTTTGAATAAATCTTCTTTTTCTTCTTCGAGAATATCGCGTTGACGTTGAATATCCGTATTCGCTTGTTGTAAACGATCGCAATCAGCACGTAATGAATCGATTTGTGAATTCAATGTCTGGAAGAGTCAAATTCATTAAGAAGATCTTTAAGACAGAGTGAGAATAACTTACTAGACGGATTTTTTCCATGTTTGTTCGTTCGAAATTTGATGTTTCCAATGCTGATTTCGATCGATCACGTTCATTCGCGGTATCATCAAATTGTCTTCGTAGTTCCTCGATCTGTAGTTTATACGAAGCCGCTTTTTGATCCAATTGTCGTCGTTCAGCATCGCTTTGATTCAATTGATCCTTCAATTGTTGATTTGCTTCTCGTGCCCCATCTAACTTGGTTTGTAAATCATGCACCTATATTTAACAAAAATAACCATATTGGAAATGGAATTCGATCTGTTTGCAAGTCTCAAGGTTGTGTCTTTATTGATTATTAAACTATTTCAGAACAGGAAAACATAGTAGTAGGCAATGATTAGAGGAAACAACGAATCATTGTCAAGGTATAGCATGACAATGAATAAATAAGATGGGACCCCTGAATGTATTCAAAGCGAAAAATAGAGTAAAACTTCAGTTGTACATTGTTTAGTTTGTTTAGTGTGCGTCGGTTTAGAAAAGTACTCCTCCTCTTCTGATCAGATAATTATTAGGTTTCCAACGAAGTGGAATCTAAACGGACGATGGAAGGAAAAGTTTGATAGTTTTAGTTTGTTAACAATATATGATCTAATACAAAGGTGACTACGAAGAGGAGCAGAGAGATGCTGTACCTGGACTTGACGTTTGTTCAAAGCAGCATGAACAGCACTGAATGTACTGTCGCCATACGATGGTGAAACATTACGGGAATGTGGTCGAGAGGCTTGAGTCGCACGCTGAGGTGAGTGTGATCGAGGCGAACGAATACTAAATAGAAAAAAGAAAGACATCATTAGTTTATCAATGAAAGAATATTGAGCCTTTTTGCAAATAATTGAATACCGCAACCTACTCATAGTCATGAAGGAAAACCTCAGTTGAACGTTATATTGTAAATACTTTATGAAATATTGATTATGGAAATGCAAATCAGGATACAATTTGCCATTGAACAAACAAATTCTTAAAAATAACATTACGCTCTTAATAAATTAAAACTGTATATGTAACCATGAAGAGTGACGACGAAGAGAAAGAAAAAAAGTCTTGATTCATTCAAGGTCAATGAAAAGAATTCTATTAATCTTTCTAACTCATTTAATAGTGCAGTTCAACATTCCGACAGTTATTGTCATGTCCATCATCGAAGGAAAGGTAACCTTGATGTTTTCATGGAAGATCAACTGACATAGATAACAATGACGCAAAAGTTCATCTTTTGTCTTGGAAGTCAAATCTCTCGTTTTCTTTTTATAAACTAATATGATGAATTACCGTTTTTTTTTTCAAGTAGATCAATTTCTTAAGCACAATTTTCGTCAAGGTTCTTTTAATTTTTGTTGTTCTATTTCTCTTTCGTCAGAAAGCCTTGGAGAAAATTTATTTTAAAACATCACACTTTTTTTGTTTCGAATTCTCTCTCACCCTTCTCGCTCGTTTTTTTTCTCAGTTAAATTAACTACGAGAAACCGTTCGATGATGTCTGTTCAAAATCAAAACTAACAATATAATGTCTCTTACGTTAATCACGAAAAATAGAAAAGGAGAGAAAGGTAATTTGTAAATAAGTTCTTTAGGAGCAACTTCTTGTTTCTATTTTAAAAGCTTTCTTGCCATTTTTTTAGCTTGAGAAAGAAAGAGAATCCGAATAGTTAGAGTATGTGAAAGTGTTACATGGAATGTTTTCTTCATCTATCTGCTCGCGTAAGTAAAACAAAACGTGAATTTCAATCACATACCGACTGTAACCTCGATCAGGTGATTCGAATCGATCAGTGCCACTGGCACCACCTCGAACAGGTGATAAGCGTCGAGGCGATGATCTGCCTGCATCATGTCCATCATACCGGTCATCTTCATCATTGAGCACTGCTTGTGCTATGTCACGTAAACGTTGATGGAGTCGTTCGGTATCACCATTGATTTCTCTTGTACGTGTCTCAAGAGTCGAAGAAGAGCTTTCCTAGAAAAGAAAACGGCACTTTAGACATAGTTATTCATCGATTCTGATCCATAATTAATCAACGAACCCGGTAGCAGTATGTGGTCATTTAACAGAGAAATATACAGAGTAAAAAGAAAGGAAAAGAAACTTGAAGAAGTTCAGAAGTGCTTGCAAGAACAATGAACAAAAAAGCTTGGCTTGTTGCTCTAGTAATTTTCTTTCATCTAGTTGACCACGCATTTCCGTTGTGACTCGTACGCGCAACAGTCATACAAAGAACTCTGATGATGAGATTTGTATTAAGTTTTTTTCATACCTGTGTTCGTCGATACATAATGATGGTGGTCAGACAAGAACCGCAAATCAAATCAACAATTTTTGATGAATGAATGAAAACGAAACACGAGAAGAAGAAAAGAGAAGAATTGATGTTGAAGGCGGTAGTACTTATGCACACGGCATGACGACGATGAAGAGAATTTTTCTTCGCTTTCTCTCTCTCTCTCTCACTTACTTTGTCTCCTTTCTTTCCCACTCGTTTGCTCTTTTTTTTCTCTCTATAAAATAGTTTTAACAAAAAAAAAAAGAAAGAAAAGAAAGAATACCATCAAACATCACCACCAGCATCTTATTTCATTTCGCAAATTCTTCTACTTATACTTTTCTCACTAACTATCAGAGTTGCATTCAAATTAGACGAAGAAGATTCGTCAAAATAGAAATTTGAGCAAGTTTTGTAAACAACTTTTGCTCTTCAAAAGTCTAGTTGGTTTCTAACAACAAGCACAGTTGTCAGTCTGCGGTTTTCAACACAGATTCGATTTTAACTTATGTTGTTCGTACTATTGCTTCTAATGAGCAAGATGAGATCGTTGGCAGACGGCGTTCGTCGGTGTTATTCTTCAATTACAAGTGTCTGACAATATTGCTATCAAATTTTTCAAGTGCTAATACTAATGATGAAACAACTCTGGGTACTATTTATATTTCTCCTCTACTTAATGACCACTAAGGGTGAATCGGACAACTCTACATTGAATCAGTATCAAGTTCCATTCATTTTCTTGTCATTCGCTATAGCGATTGTCTATTTCACTCTTTTATTCGTCTATGTATTTCGTTATCGTATTTTCAGAAAATCGGTACCGATCAAGATCGATAGTCAGAGTCGTTTCTCCAATCGTCATAGAATGCCGATTAAGCACGATGTACTTAATCGATTTTTACACCGTTTAAAACCGACTACCAAAAGATTAAATGAATAAACGGTGAGGAAACAATAAAAAAAGATTTGATTACAAGGTAAATGAGGCAACGAGAGAGGAAAAAGCTAAATAGATTGAATTGTGTATAGATTATACACTCACCTTCGCAACCGCACTGCGTTGCAACATCTTTACGGGGAATCAGCCGCAAACAATCACAGATCGACAACTAATGTTACCAGTTGTTGTTTGATTTTCTTTCCAGCACAGTCGTCACTAATGCCGCAGAGTAAATAATCGCGTCCTCTGCTATGTAATATATTAGGAGGTTTCTCTGATCAAAATACCTTCGTTTTTTTCTCTGTCAATCACTATTCTCGATTTTTTCTTTTCTTCTCGCGATCAATCATTTCTCCAGTTATTTAAATTGACTGATATGTAGATTAGTAAATAATAGTGCACAGTCAATAAACAAAATAGAAGAGAAGCTTCTCCAGTAGACACAATCAATTCTTTCTTCTGGTAATGAAATGTTGTTTTTGAGTTGTGACGACTATGAATTCGAAAAAATGCGCTGCAAAATTTCAATCGAGCATGTGAAAGTCATTTTGTACTGCTCGAAATTTTCAAGCCGAACGTTTGTCTCTTCTGTTTTAACAAAAAGCGTCGTTTGTTGATTCTGAAAATCAAGTTCGAAATGAAACAATTAGCCATCGAAACATCAGCACTGACAAAAAACGAAAAACGAACTGCTCGACACGTCAAATTTCATCGAAATACGTTCGGAAGTTTGCAGAAAATGTTCTTCCTTCACTCTGAAGTTTATTCTGCTACATTGTATCGATATTATAAGGTATCTCAATGATTACTTTATATATGGTAATAGTCCAACTTACAAGATTGTATGTTAGTCTAGTCATAATGAGAAGCAATTGAAATCACATGTATTTTTCTTATTCAAGCCATAAGTTATAAAATAACAATCATTTAGACAATAAAAACCACTTTAAATACCGTAAAAATTTCTATTTTATAATTAACATTCAACAAGATTTCAAAAACTATGGATATCATTGATCAGTTTTCTTAAATAACCTTTCTATTCAACTAAAGAACGAATCGATCGGTTTGTTAAACAAACGAATAAATAACAAAACCATATTCTCTCTTAGACGAAATATCAGGCCGAGCATACACAGTCACCCTCTTGCCTGAAGCATTCTATCGATGATAAGAACTCATTATATAATGCAGGCAGTACTTAAATTGTTTAACAGTCGTCCGCAGTTATTGATTATGTAAATCAAAGAGTGATTTTAATGTACCGAATTAATGAAATCAACGAGTGTCACAATCATTTGACTTATCGCCGTCTTGTTCGTACATTACTTCAGACAAGTTTTTTTTTCTTCTTCTTCTCCTCTCGGTATTACGAATTGTGATTCAGGTTAAGTAGCAGATGGAAAAAAAGTTCTAAGCTAAGTACTAATCAAGGACGAGATTTCTTTTACATATTGACTATTTTGTTGTAACTTTATTGAGAAGGAGATTTTCTAAGGTTTTCATGCAAGATTACGCGAACTTAACAAGCTTCTTTCTTTCGATCGGAATTTCGATAAGAGAAACGAGACAAACCGTTGCTTGTTGATGTGTTTGTTTAGCACGTGCTAGAGTATTGATAGTGCCATCTTTTTCAGCTAATTGAAGGCGTAGTTTTTCATTCAATTCTGCTAAATCTTGCGATCTAAATTATTCGAAGATGATCAGATGATTGATCGAGTTAAAAGAACAAGTTAGTCGTACTTTTGTTTCAAATCAGCAATTTCGCGTGACTTTTCACGAATTTGACTTTCTAGATTTGTGCGATCATTGCGTTCGCGTTCTATGGCCGCCTGTTGAAATGTATCAGTTTGTGAAACGAAATGAAGAAACATTCTTCAACTCGATCTAACCTGTCCCTGAGTTTCAGCTGCTTTCGAGGTTGTCAAGAACCCGAAACAAGCACTTGTTAATGAACGACCCGTTTGAGCGAGATCATTACGAACACGCATCAAATCACGTTCAGTTGTGCCTTTTAATTCAGTGAATTGTTTACGAAACGAAACAATATCACGCCATAGCTCGTACATCAAGTTATGTTCTTTATTGTAATATTGGTTGAAAACCTGAAGAGACGTTCAATTTATGAAAGAATAATGAATTAGCGCGGCGAACAAACCCGTTCCTCTTCTTTCCAATCGCGTGTTTTTTGAGTATATTCATCACGAACATGATTCAGTTCAACGGTGACTCGACGTAGTTCTTCGCTCAATTGTTGATTAGCTAAATGAGCTTGATCGATCTGATCTCGTAAGACTGTGTTCAATTGGGTCAAATTGATACTTCTACAATATCGAAAGAAATTCCATCAATCAAACATGATCTTCAGTGTTGTAGAAGCTGCAATCAAGGCCAACGGTAAGTCTTAAGCAACAAATCATGCTAAACCACAAAATCGCGTTGCTCTTCTCTTTTTCTCATCAACAATTCAGCATTGCTAATTGACAACAAGATTTCAAAATCTCATTTCCTTTTTGTTTTTTCTTCAAATATAAAACCAATATCACTTACTTTTGCTTTTCACTTTCAAGTGTCGTTGTTGTCGTGTCTTGGTCTTCTTCATTTTGTATTGTGTGAGATTCATAGTTTATTGTTGTTGTTCGCGATGATGGACGTTGACTAGTTGCCTAGTTACGGATGAAGAGAAAAAAAGGAAATCAAGAGAAGTAAAGTTTTTCTTTATGCAAATATTGATATTTACTGTTTGTCGAAGACGATCCATATCGGCTTGGTGCTGTTCGATCAGTAATTCTAATTCCGTACATCGACTTTTATATTGCAAAACCTGTGAAAGAAGGAATTTGAATGTTATGGATTATCATTGTTTGATTTACTTTTTGTTGAAGTTTTTGCACTAATTCCGCTTGTTTCAATTGTCCTTCTTGATAATTCGATAGTTTTCGTTTGTAATTCTGATGTTCCTCTTCAAGTTTTCGTCTCAATTCGATATTCTGTTGAACTAGAATGTGTTGTTCAGAGTCACTGCTTATCATTTCTGCTCCGATGTCTACACCTTGCGCCCGTAATGCTTGTTCGAGCTAAATGAAACGCAAATTCCAATGAATTCAAATCTCTTCATTCTTTTAAATAATAAAAAAAACACATTCGATTGTTTGGAAAAAAACGTTTTTATTCGAGTTGTGAAGAGACGCGACCATTGTTTTATTTTTGTTTGACCAATTTTTTGAAATAATAAAACTAATTTATTTATAAATTCTTACTCGATCGGAGAGAGCATTGTAACGAATACTCAGTTCGTCTTTTTCAGCACGTGTAAGATTCAGCATTGTCTCCACACGATTTAACTCATCGTTAAGATAACGATTCTCCTCGACTAATTGAGTAGGATTGGATGTCGCCATGAGATTCCGGTTGGATCTGTGATTTGAATTAATGCGTGGTGAGTGAGATTGCGTCAAGGGTGGAGTGTTAAGACGAGCTAAACGATTGTCGTCGATGTCATCATCAGGAGAAAGAACTTCTTCCAGGCGCTGAAAAAGAAAACGAAGTTTATTTGTCTTTGCTCTTAACAAACTGTTGAGAAAAATCGAATTGTCTCTACATCGAGAACTCTATACCTACAACGATCGATTGAACAATATCATCATCTGCCATGCGAATTTGTCTGAATAATTAACTGAGGTGTGACTAACTCCGTTCTGACTAGGCTATCGACAAGAACAAACACATAATGAATGGAAAAAAAGAAGACGGAAAGAAATCGAGAAATTCTTGAAGAGGCTAAAAAAAGAGAAGAAAAAAGTAATAAGAAAAAGTTTCTCATTATTTGTTTATAATCGAGGAGTAAACTATGAAAACCTATGCTGATCTACTTTGTGTTGGTGTATGTCTCGATGGCACGAGAAGAATCTACAGAAATGTTTGATTGATTTCTCGAAATATCCCAGAACAAAGCACATTCTTCGCATATACAACGAACTGTCGTAATCAAAGCGAGTCGCATTCTTACCTGTATACTTTTTTGTAAGTGATAGGATAAAGCATTCATCGAATAGTCTTTTGTATAGTTGTATTAAACGAGAAAGGATCAAGCATCAAACTTCTCTGCTTCTTTCTGTTCGTTTCGTTTTTCTTTTCTGATTAAGCGTGAACTAAAATCGATTATACGAGTCGAAATGACTCTTCGATGTTTATCTAACATACTCGTTAACATTACTTGAAATTCTAGTCGCATGCTTTTGAACTTTTTCAGCTCGAATATCTCCGATTCCAAGATTTACAAATCGGACTTTGTCATCTCTCACTTTGGTTCGATTTCATTAAAAAAAAGCGAAAATTAGTTAATGAAGTTTGATTAAATATGTGACATATTTCAATCCCTTTTTTGTTTTTTCAAGGTTCTCTCGTCATTCTCTTTTTTTTTTAACAAACGAATGTGCTTGTTAAAATGAAAGATAAACAACATACAGTTTTGAATCAAGTACGCTCGTTCGGTCGATGATATGTAATGGCTTCTACCGAAATTATCATTTCTTTTTTTGTAATGTATCGAAGAGACTGAGAGAGAGAGAGAGTCATTGAAGAAAAAGAGTTCGGCGGTTTTTTTTATTCTCCTACTTGAAATTTGTTTCTTTTTCGTTAATAAACCGTATACATTGCGATGTTTTGTTCAGGGATATTTAAGAATAACAATAGATATTCATATATGCACGAAGGTAAACTTCGATTACCATGGATAAAGTCAACGTTTGATGAAATCCGAGATCAAATGATTGTATACTTAGAAAAAGGAAACGATTTCAAATCTCATAGATCATTGTTACATGCAAAAGTGACTTCTATCATTTCTCATCTCGGTTCATCGATTAAAGAAAAAGGAAAATACTATATACTTACAAAGAAAATAATAATAAAAAAGTGTTTTAATCTAAAAAGAATGTCTGAGAATAAAATAAATAAATAAATAGAACAAATCGAATTCGACTCGATGATTGATTTGAATGTGATGTGAATTAGCTGACTGCCTCAAGGAATCTTTCAATTAAACACTCTACGACGAAGAAGAAAACATCAAAAACAAGAATATGTAACCGCAGATTAAAGATCGAAGAACACGATTGATTGCCATGTTCAATTTCATAATGAACGTGTCGCTTAGCAACCAACACAGATCGATGTCAAAAGTCATCGATTGAACATTGAACAAAAACTAGTTTTTCACTTGGTAAAGATTTCTTGAAAATCATTTTCAGATGCAATTATGAAGTTTTTCCTATGAATTTCGTTTCGATTGGAACATTTTGCCGAATTAGATTAAGCTATGTCACTAAACAAATAGATCCCAAGTGTGTGCACACCTATTGACAAAGATAAAGTGTTATCAATGTGGTTTTTGTAAATTGTAGATATAACGCGAAAACTGATTGATTTATGATATGAAATATTCACAAATGATCCGATTAGTTGATAACACAGACTAACGACATCTAGTTTAGAAGGCGAAGCAGATGGTTGACAAACAATTGTCAGCATTGATGAACACGTGTGCATGATTTCATTCATTCTGAAAGCGTCATTAATTGAAGTTACTTCGCTTGTCTGGTGTGTTGGTGATCATTTTCTTTGATAACAGTAGATGGTATCATAAGAATGGATTTGTCTATCCGAAAAAGAGCGAAATACGCGAACAAGTTAGCCACTAGTCAACATGATTGACTGGTAGTTCTTTCGGAAACGTCTTCTGTCATCTATCATATCATTTGAATCAAAGGAGCCAATCGAAGTTACTTTTGTTTAACCTAAGGAGCAGATCATCACAGTGCATAGATCAAAAGAATGTTCTTTAAGTGCATTCTGAATAGACAGTTAGCACGAACAGTGGTATCGGTATCACGTATGAAAACTAAAGACAGAAGATTGTCAGAACAAAGACTGGTAAGACAAGAATTGTTGGATAGTATCGATATCTCATGGTACAAAATATTAGAAAATGAATTTTCGAAAGAGTACTTCAAAAAAGTATGATATATAAATCTTTGTTTAGTATGAAATACTCTTCATTGTTTGAATAGTTGATTGAATTTATTGCTGATCAACGAGAGAAACGTGTGATTATTTATCCTCCGTTACAGCAAGTCTTTACATTTACACGATTGTGTCAACCAAATGAAGTGAAAGTTGTTATTCTTGGACAAGATCCATATCATCAACCTAATCAAGCACATGGTCTCAGCTTTTCCGTTCCAAAGAACGTTCCGATTCCACCAAGGTTTGTCTGTAACTTTTCGTTCTCTTCATCTTGAATACCATTTTAGTTTACAGAATATATTCAAAGAAGTTCAGAATGATTTACCGAATTTTATTATTCCAAAACATGGCACATTATTTGGTTGGGCGAGACAAGGTGTTTTATTGCTGAATACTTGTTTGACGGTAGAAGAAAATCGAGCCAATTCTCATAAAAACAAAGGATGGGAGATATTTACGGTATACTATTGTCTTTTGTGAAGTTTTTCAAGCAGAAATATTCATTTTCTAGGATGGTATCATTCAATATCTCAATCAGCATTCATCAAATCTTGTTTTCATACTCTGGGGTCGCGATGCTCAGATGAAAGCAGCACAAATCGACAAAGTAAAATGAAATCTAGTCTCTAACATACACTAAACACTCTTGCTTTTCAGACGCGTCACCATGTGTTAATCGCTCCACATCCATCACCACTATCAGCGAGTAGAGGTTTCCTAGGCTGTAAAGTATGTCAAAATGTCCTCGACAATCTTTTTTGTCTACCAAATTTTACTGCTTCTTTTCAGCATTTTTCTCAAGCTAATGTTTATCTGAAAGCTGCTGGTATACCCGAAATCGATTGGTCTCAATTACCATCGGACGACAGTCCCTTACGCGACTAATTCTCAATCGAAATATTCTCTTGTTGATTGCGTTTTATTCAGTCAATCGACACAATAAAAAAAACAGCAACATTTTATGTACTATTTATTATATTCTTTCACGCCATTCATCAGTAATCAATTCATCATATTGTTTTCTTAGATAAAACAACAACTTATCGATATTGATTTTTTCCACGGTTGAGATCGGTATCAACGGATAAGGAATGTATTGTCGAGTTTTTTCCAGTTGTAACTTAGCGTCGGCATCATCCATTTTATTTCCAAGAACGGTTATTTTTTTCTGTGTCAAATCAGTTCTATATTCACGTAATTCATTCATCAACAGATCGTATTGTTCCCATGGACGTTCAACACTCATATCGATAACAAGAAGTAATGCTAAACATCGCTCGATATGACGTAGAAATCGGCTGCCTAAACCTTGTTCTTCTTTACAAGCACCGGGAACAATACCAGGAATGTCGGCGACTATAATGTTTCATGCAAAAAAAGAATTGGTTCATGTTTGAGTGTGAGAAGAAGGCAAAATCAAACCGTGAATTTGAATGAAATCATCGTATTCGATTGAACCGAGTTGTGGTTGACGTGTAGTGAATTCATAATCGCCCACAATAGGTCGTGCTCGAGAAATTGTTCGCAAGAGACTGCTTTTACCAGCATTAGGAAAGCCAAGCTACAAAAACAAAGAATTAGTAATACGAACATTGATGTGAAGAAACTTACTAAACCAAAATGCGCGATCAGTTGGAGTTCAAGTTTATACTTCTTTTTGTCACCATTCGCACCTAATTCGTATTCAGTTGGTGCTCGATTCATATTTGATAGAAAATAATAATTTCCTTTTCCACCTACAAAAACAAAATCAAGTCGAAACAACACCATGAATAACATGTCTTCTTTACAGACATGCTTACCGCAATTCGATCATCTCACCTAAACCTCCCCGTGCTGCAATGAACTTCTGTTCATGTTTTCGTAATTCACAAACAGTCTTCCCGTTAATTTTCTTCACTATGGTTCCGACAGGCACCTAGAAAACAGCGTAGGAACTACGAAACCGATTGAAATTGTTTGCTTCATATTTACCGGAATTATCGAGTGTTCAGCTGATGTGCCCTTTTTGAAATTTGCTTCACCCGGTGCTCCATTATCAGCAATATACAATTTTCGAATATTATTCAATGATGTCACATGTTTTGACGCTAAACGATCAAACAACTTCATCGAAAGTCTATTGTCTTCATTGGCGATGATTTCATTTAAAAAAACACTTTACAATCTTCAACAGACAAGTGATTTTTCTGTTTGTTCAATCATCAGTATGGCTTCGAATCATTGTTATGACTAGAGGCTATTGTATTACTTTTCGCATCACTTGTAATTCAAAAGAGGGTTCTACTGTCTGGTATGTTTTACCTTGAAGGATAATGTGAGCACCGTTGCCGCCGTCTCCTCCGTTAGCTCCGCCAAATTCATTCTGAAATGTTTTGGAAAATGACGCTCTTCCATCGCCGCCTTTTCCCGCCACTAGTCGAACTTCAACTTCATCTTGAAATTCATTATCCTAGATGCAGTAGTTTCTAGACATGCATTGTATATCCGTTGATTACTTACAAAATCCATAGATGCTTTCGGTTTTCGCGGCGCTAATGGTTTGGGCTGAAATGGTACTTTTGTCGTTAAGTGTCGAACAAATGTTCGAATCATTGTTCTTTCGTTTCCTTTTTCTTTTTCAATAATCTCGAAAAACAAAATAATAATAACGATGGTTTCATGTATTCTTCTGCTTTTTTTTCTCTCTTCTGAACAAAACACATTCGAATCAGAAGTTACACTGTCGAGCATAATTAGAAAGAAACAAGAACAAAAACAAAAAAAACAACAAATTTGTCTCAGTTCATGTCCAGATGGATGTCTGACTAGGCTTCAAATCGGATCTATATGTGTTTATTTGTCTTTATTAAATTTGTTGGGAGCTTTCAATGCATACGATATTCACCATGGTATTTGGTTTGAGTATTTTGTCCTCGAGCAACAAAATCAATATCAAAATCCAAATCACGATCGTTCTTCGGATTGGGTCGTAATGACAGTTTACCGGTTATTTTTTCACCTTTATGCAACATAATATCTTCTTCATCGTGATCAAAATAAAACAAAGTTTGTTTCCAATGTGTGTATGGGGCATCGGGACCAGTTGAAAATCCACAATACTTATGACATTTGCTGAACTCCACGGTGAAATACGCTACAAGTGCGTGAATGTAATCATTGCGTATGGCATCAAGTGAGAAATTGGCGGTAAATGCAAGATCTTCGACACGGACTGTTTGTAAATCGAATTCTTTTAACATGTAATGTGTGGTCATGACTTGCCGGTTATCAACACTATCGACGAGCGGTTCCTTAATGGCTACTTTACGAATACAACTCATATCAAAACCATACACGTTGTACCTAAAAACAGACGAAAACCTTTTCACTAATGCGTTCTTGGAATATTTGAAAACAAGCGATGAGTTTTGTCATTATACGAAAGATAATCATCTCGACGGTCAGCTTAAATATTATTCTCATATTGCTTACCACCAGTTGATTTTTTCATCACGATATTTCTTATCTTCGATACCACAGATATAAATTTGACATTTATCTGGGAATAAAAGGCCATGTTGTTTGTTTAACCATTTATCTCGAGCGTATAATATCGAATTAAGCATAGATTCGTACAGTAAACAATAGCCCATCCATTCACTGACGATAATATCAACTTCAGTGATACCATCAGGTAATTCGACTTCTTCGATTTTGCCTCGGATCAATGTGATGACTGAACTTAGATTATTACTAGCAATGATTTCTTGTGCATAACCAACAATTGACGACATGTCAATACCGATAACACGTTTAGCACCGGCCTTTGCAGCGAACATACTTAAAATACCGGTTCCGCAACCTAAACAGGAAATCAACATCAGCGATCATCTCTATCAACTATGAAAGACTATGTTCTACCTAAATCAAGCACAACTTTGTCTTTAAATAAGTGTCGATTGTAGATCATTGCATTACGATAAGTTAATGTTCGAACTTCATCTTTAAGCATCTCTTCGTGAATGCCACTAGAAGAATTTATGATTAGATTGATCTCCTCCATTTCCATTGCACTTACAAATGAGCATAAGAATCAAAATAGTAATCTTTCGAAACACGATCTTCTGGAAAACATTTTTTACTATCATCATTCATCGCAGTTGATTCACCATTATTCATTGCCGTTGGTTTATTCACTGTTGCTAATGCTGTTTTCAGCGTAGGTGATACTGGCACGTTGCCAGCGCTATCGTTTGATACTGTATTACTAGCCATCTAAAATCTAGAAGATCAATTCAATCATGTTCTTCTTTTCCATATAAACATACCAAAAAAGAAAAGGAAAATCACATTGTCTATGCAACAAACACCACACACACACACACACACACGCATACGCACACACAAATGCACAACAGATCGTTTTAAAAAAGGAAAAATGTCGAACACATGAACACAAAATTCTTTTTTTTCGTTAGACTAACGACACACACACGCACACTGCAAAAAATGGAGAAAACTTACACACGCGCGAGTATTATTGCAGCTACTCAAAAAAATGAGATCGCAAGAACAGAAGAGAAGAAAAGAGAGAGAGAGACAAACACACACAAACACAACAGTTTCATCGATATGTATGATGTTGTGGACCCCATGGATCATTATTAAATTCATTGAATTTCCCAGTCGCCGTCGGACCATTCTGATAATGATGATGACTATATGCATTCGCTGCTTGTTCATTAATACCAGTCGCCCAATTATTCGCATCATATTTGTTTCCTTGTGGTTGCTGTTGTTGTTGTTGTTGCTGCTGCTGCTGTTGTTGTTGCTGTTGAAAAGCTTGAATGAATGCTTGCATCATGTTCGGATTTAACATTTGCTGCAGGAGTAATTGCTGCTGGTCAGGATTGTTCGAAGCAGCAGCACCGCCACCATTGCCACCATGAGGCATCATAGTATTGCCTGCGCCGTATTGAGAGTAGGATGAGTAATGGTGAGGATTTCCAGGTGGTATCGAGCGAACATTATGAAAATTTCGATCTAAAGTTTAACAATATTGATTTCACTTCACTCTGTCAAAGTATTGGTATAAATTTCTCCCATCTAACTGAAGTTGGCTTTAGCAATTACTTTGAGATTATGCTTGTTTTCGAGAGATTTCACAATAGCTGTACATACCTGGTTTAGAACGTTTAAACTGGCTGTCACTCGGTTTTCCTTTCGGTTCTGCTGGTCCAACGTGTACACTGCATCTGTAATAGAACATAACAACGAAGTCATTAATATTCTTATCGATCCTCTCTCTCTTCTTACCCATTGATGAAATGATCACCGTACAGAGATGGAACAATAGATGATTCAAGAAAAGTAACAAAAGCAAAACTTCTTGATGGACGAGGAATATACACATCAGTCACTTCTCCGAATCGTTTGAAATATTGATTGAGATCATCAGCAGTAACAATTTCTACACGTCAATTCGAATTAACAACTATCTTTCCACTCAATTTCTCTTACCTGGAAGACGTGCTACAAACACTTTTCGTGCACATTCAGGTTCATGCATACCAGGATTCTAAAAGCGAATGCAGATTGATAAGACAAATGAAATCTTGCTTTTAATTTACCTTCGAATCTGGAATTTTCAGGTCACATGTGCGTCCATCAATATGATGACGTTTATTTAATGCATTTAATTGTGATTCATAATCTTTAAAACGAACAAAACCAAATCCACGCGATTGTCCTTGAGCATCCCGTTTAATCTAGTAACACATCGAAAAATCTTCTTCAAAACAAGCTCTATTCTCTCAAAAATGCTTTCTCACTTCACAAAAGACAAGTTCTCCAAATTGTTGAAAATAATTTCTGACATCATCTTCATTCGATCGATAATTTATGCCGAGTACAATCAAATCTACACAACGTGATGGGTCAAGACGTTGACTCGTGTTCGTAAATTGTGCATTAGGATCAATTTCCATTTTAGATTTATTATTCCTAAATTGACTTATGAAGATTAGACAATGACGGAATAGCGCGCAAGGAACAAATCTTACTTTTTGAAACTCAATTGCAATGTACAATGTTTGAATCTGAACAGCCATACACTGAAATAAATAAAAAGGCGAAGAAAATGAAATATAGGATGAAGATGAAATTTCACGGATAACAAAAAAAAATAAACAAGCCAATCACTTTGACCGATCAAAGAGATATGACTGACTGGCTGAACTTTGTTTACAAAAAAGAGAATTATTTCCGAAGAAATGAAATTCTTTTGTTTAAAAATAAATTTGCGACTGAAAATATTATTTGAAGATTTATTTCGAAGATTTCTTGCTCATATATCACGAGGAAATAAGCCAACGACATCTATAGAGTATATTAATTTTGCGAAAACCAATGAATAAAAAGATTTTTATTGACTTGACTCAGATATTTACATGAAAAAGTACACGACTCGAATCGAAACGTTTCTAAATAATGGAATGGAAATGCAAAAAGTTCACTGGTACTCAATCTTTGACGATAGAGTTTTGATATAATCGTCAAGCATATCACATGATAGTCATCGCATCGATTGGAGTTGCAAATAGATCTTATTCTCTGTCATTGTCATGTAGGAACCGTGATCTAGGGCACAACTTGTATGGGTAAACTTTTCTTCCTAAAGAAAACCTATTTTCGTGTAGAAATGATCATCCGCTGGTTTTATATTTCATCATTTACGGACGATAATCAATATTGGCAACTGTTTCGTTTTAGATTGATAATGTCTATTACTCTCTTTCATCTTAATCGTCAATTACTCACACGAGCCTTGACTCGTACAGGTCCTTTAGCAATAGCGTATGCATTCGTTTTTTATATATTAAATTTCTTCTAATCGCTTCGAATTATATAGTCAACAAAAAGCTACTTCCAGTACTGTTACACCAGACGTAGCTAAATATCGAGCGAAATCTGCTGAATGGCTTGCAACTAATGAGAAAAAGTACCAACGACCAATATCACCACACATACAAATCTATCGGTAATTGAACTTTCAATTTTACTTTTCTTACATAATATGCGCGTTTTTAGATTTCCTTTTCAAGTATGGTCATCTGGCTTTCATCGTATTAGCGGTTTGATGTTGAACGGAAGTATGAATATCGAACATTGTTTCTCTCGAAAACCAAATGCAACTTATACATTTTAGTGTTATATACTGCTGGTCCACTTGCATTTCTTGCTACTGGTCATAGTACAGAAATTTTAAACTATATCTATTCGATGGACATCCCAAGCTGGTTCATCTTTTCAGTGAAATTGTTCATTGCCTGGCCGTGAGTAGATCGAAGCTATCCTATTTCATGTTTTTTTTTTCTCTTCTTTTGTAGAATTTCATATCACGCATTGAACGGAATTCGTCATTTGGTAAGTGATTGATTTCGAATAGAACGTTGAACATTTATTTCATTTCTTTTAGGCGTGGGATACTGGACGAGGTTTTGAAAACTTTGAAAAGATCAGTGCAGTGATTTTCCTCCTTTCATTTGTTCTCGCTGGTGTTATAACTCAACTGTAAATGAACTGATCGGTCAATCAATCTAAAAGAAAAACTTTGTCTTCAAGTCCCACATAGTTGCCTATTTCCTTTAGATCTGTAAGAGATTTCTTCTGCATGATTCTTTATCTTTCTTCTTCCTTAGACATTGTAAAATTTTTTTAAATAAAAAACAAAAATGAGACCAAAAGCAAAAATGAATTTATGGATTATAAACTCGCGGCGTCATTGCCATTCGAGCACGAATAGCGTCAATATCGCTACGTAGTTCCTTCAAATTCAGTCGTAAGGAATCTGAACGTCCACGAGAAGTTCCAACGGATGAAGATGCCAAACGCATTTTATTCATTTCTACCTTCATTGCATGCATGTCATCAATTAAACGTTTTAAATATTGTTTGGTTTCACTTTCTGATTCGGTATTATTATTATTATTGTTATTATTCGTTGGTGGCCCATATTTTAAGCGCATGCGAGATGGATGAGAGATTGTATTATAGAGTTTGGCTTCGGGTTTGGAAACTGAATGACTCTGTCCATTCATTTGATGTCGTCGATGATGATGATGACGGTGATGAGATGATTGGATAAGAATAGCTGATGCTTCGGCATTTTCCGCACTCAGTGGACGACTTCGGAACGATTGATCGGGACGTTTCGGTGAAACCGAACGAGAACGTGTTGGTGACTGACTGTATGCATCGCTATTAGAAGCTTGTTGTGGTTCAATATGAGCAACAATCATACCATTGGTATTCGAAGGTGAAAGAGTAGTCTTGATTTTTTCGCCCGTTGGTAACGGAATTACTTTAGGTACATAGCTATAAAGGAAAAGAGAAATGTACGTTAGAAATGAACGAAATAAGTGACAGTAGCATCGAATAGACTCATTACCGGTTATAGATTCCCATTGGAACAACGGGTGCTTGTTGCGCAGCTTGCCATGCAGCTATTTGCTGTTGTTGGAAAAGTAATTGTTGCTGCTGAAACTGTTGCTGCTGTAGTTGCTGTTGTTGCAATTGCTGCTGCTGCTGCTGTTGTTGTTGTTGTTGTTGTTGTTGTTGTTGCTGCTGTTGCTGTTGCTGTAGCGATTGCTGCGACGGCGACTGCTGTTGTTGAACTTGTTGATCTTGTGGTTCTATCGGTGATGTTTGACTGGCAGTGTCCTCAGCTACTTTTGGTTTAGTCGATTTCTGCGGCGATCGTGATCGATGTTTACGTCGATGTTTACTTCCGCTATCACTTGCCGTTTTACTTGACGAGTGTCCTGTTTTGTTCTTGCGTGGACTCTTATGTCGGCGATAGTTTGCACTTTCATCTCGACTACTATGATAACTGTTATTAAACGGCGTATAACTAAGTTGAGGCAATGGAGGAGCTGACGACGGCGTTTTCTCTCTTGTTGCATTAATATCACTGTCACGTACATATAAAATTCGTTTCGGCGACTGTTGTCGACTGCCTTTACCATTACGAAAGGTTTCGTTGGATTTTTGCGAGGTTGGAGATACTATCTGTTTGTTATCAGGTGATTTGGCTTCGACCATAATTTGATTTTCAGCACCTTTGCTAAATGATGATTGTTTCACATGACGGAAATCATCGCGGATCAAATGTGCATCGGATGGATGAACGACATAAAGAAGAACACCTTTCATATTCGATTTGACTTCTTCATAAACAATACAAATCACATTATTTATATTTGGTTGCATAAAGATGTCATGAACATGTGCAATAGGAATAAATACTGGTATACGTGTACGTGCAATTTGCGGATCTTGTGCTTTGATTTGAATCCCGACTCGACTAATACGAATCCAAACAGCCGTAGCTAAAATAAATTCACATAGTAGCAGCGTGTGAGTGTATGGAAAGAACTTACTGTAAGGTTTTCCCGTAATGGCATGATTGATAATACTACGAATTGTATCTGATGTATATGTACTTATCAAAGTTGAGTTAAGTGGAAAAGCGGTGTACCGTCGAGAAGTGACCCCATCATTCGGATTATTATATGTTATTAATTGATTCATAATCGATGTATTTGGCAAACAAATGATCTGAAAGGATGGGTGTCAACAAAATCGTGTCGAAGACTACGAGAGAACTATGAAGCAACCTTAGATAACAATGATTGATATATATGTCTATTTCTCACTTTCTACTGTCGTCCTCGTCGTCGATGTCGACAAGTATATTTAATTATAGACTTCTTTCTTACTTTCAACTTTGACCAATGCTACAGAACAAAAGTGTCAATAAGAAATGTATGGACATATTCTATTTCTTCTTATTTCAACAGTCACGCTTGATTTGTATTCTTCTTTTTTCCTCGTTTTGATAATAATAACCATGTAGGAAAAAAATCATTAAATAGGACGAGTAACTTGAGGTTTTGCAACGTGCTCTGCTCAAATGATTGCTTTTTTGGCCACATCGAATCTGTCATCAATTGATCGTTCACTGACACGTCATAATGAAAATAGATAGGCGTACATTTTACATATATTATGACAAGTTGAAGAAGAAAAAAGACAAAAAAATGTGTCCATCCCTATACATATTGCGTTTTATGACATACAGCGAGTGACACCTACTAATGAACATTTATGTCACGTCGATTGAAGTTGTCTTAATCGAACTAAATGATGAATCGTTGATTAAAACGATTGATACAACAATTCCGTTAGTCTTCTGGAAAATTTCCTACGTTTTCTCTTCTCACAAAGGAAAATCGAGTGTATTTTTGAAAAACGAACTAATTTGATTATATCTAATGAAAAATGGAAATGTAATTGAAAAACGTACTTTTTCACAGCTAATTTTCTATGACTGTCATCTGTCTCGTGGTTAATTACATTTTCATCAAAAAAGGTTTTTAACCTGGCCACAAGGTGCGCTAAGTTGTTCAAACAAGTTTGAGTACAAACGAGTATCGCCAACGAAATCGGAAGAAATCTCTCTACTTTTTCGAAAACTTGAGATTTAAGGTCAAAGAGAGTAGTCGCGTGGATGAGAAAGAACACATAAATCATCTCTGAAACGAGAACTATCTATCAACTTGTCATCTCTCTTGATGATGAGCTATGAAATCATGAACATATTTTATTGACCGTCAAGTTCAGATATGTGTTTGAGATATTACAAAAAAAAGAATCTCAAGTTGTTTCGTTTATGCTGAAGAAAAATGTCCGAAGAAAACTATTCGTTAGACGAGGGGGAAAAGGTAACCGTGATCATGCTGTTATTCTTAACATTCCCACATTTATCAGCTGAGAAGAAATAAAGTAGCATATCGAAAATAAATAATTAATAAAAAATCAAATTAATTTCATTCAGAAAAATATGTGCATTCGTTGAATTTTCTTTAATATTGCATATCCTTGACAGAATTTGATGGGTTTCAGACTTCATTAAAAATGTAAAGCTACTTGATTAGATATTACTTGATGTTACTAAAGCACAAAAGAACGACAAAAGTTGGTGTAAGCTGTTTGAACTATATCGCCTACACATGACTGATCATGAGTGATACGTGTCTAACCTTTTTTTTCTCAGTGACAGTGGTGTTTAATGGCAGAAGGCAAATTATGTTGTACCAGGAAAATCGTGTACCCTTCATTAATCAAGCAGAACGTTATTTTGGTTGTATGAAAATGATCAGTGTACATTTCCTTCACCTTGTATGTCTGCGATAGAGGAGAAAAGCTAACATTGATAGTTTGTCTACTTGCATGAAACAACACAATTGCGAAAATGTTGTCATATCTGTTAGAAGCACTCTTTCTAATTAGAATGACGTTTTACTCTAACCTTAAAGGACATCCAGCAGTGAGAATATATAAAAATTATCTCTTCAGAAATTCAAGAACATTGAATGTAATGGAAACTAATGCTGAGAAGATGAAATCATGATATTATCATTTGTAATATTGATGAGAAGGGGAAGAAGAAAATGACAACGGATTATCCTATTAAGAAGGATTTCTCGATTTCTTGCTCGATGTACCCAACACTACCTACGAGGTTATAATAATAAGAAAGTGGGCCAAGTAAATGTGCAAGAGATTTGATTTGATTTTCTTTATCGCGAACAAAAAGCAACATTGTCATGAAATTAAAAAAAAATAAAACACGAAACAAGCACATGATACATTTAGGGCAAATTTTCATCTGATCGAAATGATGGATTTTGTTCACCATGTACATGAACGTCATAGAATCCATCTTTGATAGTCGCTGATATGGTCGGTACATTCGCGTTCGTCTGTTGTTCAACGATCGGTAATGCAGATGTTGTTGCAAGAGATACATTCGAATTTATATTCATATTGATATTTGATTGACGACGACGATTTGTTGTCGATGGTAATGATATACGATATGCAGCAAGTATATCGAGATTACATAATGGACAATGTCGATGATTGAGTAACCAAGGATCGACACAATGATGATGAAATGAATGGCCACAAACTAAAGAGAAAAAGACGAAAAGAGATGAGAGACAAGAAATTGTTCATATTGATCAGAGATGCTTACCTAATTGCCGTACTGTATCACCCGTTTTTATTGTATCTAAACATATAACACATGACTCCTCTGTCGGAGGATTTTCAGTTACGTTAACTAATGGTATTTTCGTCAGCGCTTTTTTTGCTGCATTCGATAAACGACTTTGTAATCGATCTTTTGCCGTACGCGCGCGATGTCGTTGACAATAATAAAACACGAGCCACGATATACATAATGATATTAATATACAAATTGACACAGCTATAAATATAGTTGCAGATTGCGAACCAAACCAAATAGTTTCATGAGCATAATCATCGTAGTCCATGCCTGTGGGTTGTAAAGTGATATTCAATTTTGCACGCGGATCTTTCACTAAACTGAACAATAAGGAACCGATGAGTTTTCGAACATAAACAGAAAGTATATCAGAAGTATTTTGAATCATATTATACATTTCAAAACCAGGATTTTGTGGATCATAGATTATAACAGCTAGAAAAGAGCAAATTTGAAATATATACATCATTTGAATATTCATATGTGTAACCTGCTGCTCCGCTTTGTTTTGCGCGTGTTATTTTAACACTGAATGTACAATTTCCACCTCGTTGAATGATCGCGATGCCATTTGAATAATTCGAAGGATAAATTGCTTCTTGACATCCATCGTAGTTTCCAGCTGCATCGATTAGCGTGAACGCTTGACCCCAGGAGACGGATAATTGACTACCTTTCGTTGACACGATTCCATTTGTTTGACTATCTTCTATTCGAGTTTGATAATTTGATGATGATGTATAATATTCGAAAGTGATTATAGTTGTAGTATAACATCGAACGGATTTTGTGAAAAGAATAATACAGACAAAGAAATAAATGATCGGAGGTGAAGATACCAATTGACAGGATTTTCGCATTTTGGAATAGTTTTTTACCGGGATGTTGACAAGACAGATGAAATGTGTTATCTAGAAAAGAAAAGAAGAGAAAATAGATGTACTTTGATTTCCTCCTTCTCTCTCTTTCCTTCGAATCTGCTTTTTTTTTCTTATTCCCGAAGCACGAAAATTTCAGTGAGGAAGACCGTTTAGAAAGTAAAGTACATTGTTTCTCATTCATTAGTATCTTCTACTATAAATAAGAATCACACAAGTGAAAAGAATTGTATATCATGAAGTCGCGTTCTTTCCTTAGATAATACTTGATAATGAATCAGGTATTACTACTCCTCATTGAGCTTTATACACATATACAACGCATAAGAACGAAATAGAGTGCGAGAGAAAGAAAAAGAACGATGTTTATTTAATTGCATTTTGTAGCCTTGACCGTTTAAAAAAAGTTTCTGTTGATTTTCATTTATCGGTTTAAATAACTAGTGAATCGATTTTCTCTAAGAAGGAAATCATTTACATACAGATTATAAAATAGAAGTGATATTAATTTGAATGGAAATCAGTTTTAACTTGATTTAAAAGAAAAAAAAACAGAATGTTTTAAATCAACACATCAATTTTTTTACTAATCCTAATGTTTACAAGAGGTAGAGTTGTTCGTATCATCTACACTCAAATATTCATCAGATTTGATTGATTCATATCTCAATAGACATACGCCCCTCATTGAATTTACCCGTATTAACCGCGTTTTTTGACAAAATAAGCCAGAGAAGAAAAAACGTTTTTTCTTTTCTTAAAAAACAACACAAGGGAACAAAACTTGTCATTCTATAAAATAAATTATTTCTTAAGTGGATGTGAGTTGGTGTATTGGAGAGAAACATACTTACAAAGACGTGGTTTGATTACAAAAAAACATTGACATAACTATACTTCTTTTTCTCTCAAGGTAAAAACACCGACTTAAGTGGCATCAGAAGCCGAACACTAAAAACAGACGGCTTGCAGTATCAAGGTTGTCTGCAAGTTAGTGAAACATAACACTAAATAAAGGCCGAGAAAAATTTAAAGAAAAAGTCGCATAACAATATCGTCGTTTTTCTTTCCAATGACTTTCAATTTCAAATAAAATTGACAGCGATAGCATTACCATTCATATTTTTTCGCGTTATTTTTTTCGACAATTAGTACCAATAGTGAATGTCGCAATACTTAAAAGATATGAGGAATACTTCACTTTTTTCCGGTTTAGAAAAAAAAAAGAGAAAAAGGAGAGAGTGACTAGAGGAAAAAAGGAAGCAAAAAATGAGAACAACAAACGTATGTTAGAGCATGTGTGTGTCGCGTTTTTTTTCCTCTGGACGTTTGCAGTTACCATTACAATACGTCCTTTCACACATTCAAATAATGCCTTTTTTTTCTTACTCAAACGCCGATCGTCGTCTTTCGTCGGTAGTATGGTATTGGCGACGAACTCTCACTTTGTTTCTCTTTTTTGTTGTCGTCTGCTTTCCTCTCCATCTTTCCTCTATCATCTTCTCGGGGGGAAAAAAAAATCACTTCTTCCTCTTTCATCGAAGCAATAAATCTAATAGCAAAGACGACGACACACAATTGAACAAAAACAGCTGCTTTCTCATGATAGAATACTTCAGTAATTGAAATCGATTATCTAATAACGTACTCATAGCGTACTGACGTATTGATTGACTATAATGTTAAAATGACATCGCTGTTGCTCATGCATTTCAGCTGAATTCTGACTTTGCAGTAGAACAAAGTACAAAAATCTTTTCTTCGACCTTAAACAATGATGAAAATATACCAAGTAATCTCGTGACTTAAACTTCGATTGTTTTACCTTTATATTGCAGTAGAGACAAATAATAGCATCAAGATATATTCATAAAAAAAGAAGAAGAGGGAAGACAGTGGGTCAACTTTACTGACTACTGAAGAGAATGTGTATATCCACAATTGCATAACTTGGATTGTCTTTTGCAAGATTTAGTTTATTGACTGATTGGACTTAATAAAAAATTTCATAATTCTAAGTAAAGGCTATTGGCCGCTGGCGAATGTATTCTCTTCTAGCAAACGTTCGAAGCTTTTCGATGACATTTTCTCTATAATCTGCCACATCTATATATATATATATATCGATGAGGTATGTGCTTGTTACAAAATCTATCATATGATGTAGACAACACACCGTCTGTCTGGCCGCTGAATGTTATTGAAAAAAAAAAGGCTGAGGAAAGAAAGAAAGCAGATCATTGATCATGGACTATTGTTTGAACGGATGGCTGCTCAATTAATGTAACAATAGAATGTCCATCACGTTCATAATACAGACAGAAATTTTAAAAAAAAAGAGTAGATATATCTTTTTACCAATGATCTCACTGTGATGAACTGATTACTCTCTATATGTATATATGCATCATCCATCGTTTGAACGATCGTGTCATTCAGACAAAAGAAGAAGAAAGGATTACAAACTGCTGTTTTTCAATCAAGTTCACCCGTCCTATCAACTATGAAGTACGTGTTAATACGAACATATGAAGTATTTGCTCAGAGTCTATTTGACGCGACAACAAAATCAGATAAAGATTGTGTGTGTCAAATCAATCGTCACAGTACGCCTGATTTTCTTCAATACATCTTCTTTTTACATCTAGACTCAATCTCTAGACAAACACGTATTTGATAATGAAGGAGAGCGTAGGACAAAATCAGCAGCAATAAACGCAACGTTTAACGAATGTCGCGACAATATATAAACGATAATCAGTCGATTTTTTTTCGACATATCGTTTATGTTAATAGCACTTGTCATGATTCAAATAGATATGTAAACGAATTGAATACAGTAAGACGAAAAAAAAACGTACATGACATCAAGCTCATGGCGAAAAGTATTGAATAAATGAGAGGTTATTCGTACACTTCTTTTGCGTATTCGATGCGAGATTTTTTTTCAATGACAAATGAATATTGTTTCTCATACTTTTTTGTAATCGTTAATGAGATACTGCGACCCTGACGACATTCATAATATCGTATTTTTGAACTTAACTTTGTTCTTTCCAGGTGCTCATTAGTATGAATGCGTTGCTTGATTTTATGTGAAAATGACATTCTTTATTCAAAGCAGAAAGCAAAAAGTGTGGTAATTATAAACATGTACATTCCTTTTTTTTTATTCTCTTTGGTTACTTTACATGATGGTGCAGAGAGGCAAAACAAAGACAATGGAGAAGAAAGAAAACAAGCAGAACGTATAAACAATAGAAAAAGAGAGTGAACTAACTGAATATCTGACACAATCCCAAAACACACGCATAGAAATTTGATCCAGGATAGTAAAGAGAAACGCATAGAAAAATAGCTTAGAAGTAAAACATATTGAGTTAGTTTTATTTTAAACATTGGCCGGATTTTCGAATTGTAAATGAACACGTGCTCTTGGTGGATAGCCTGGTGGTCTGCTTGATTGAGATGCATTAATCGGAAAATCGATCGCTTGACTACGCATTGGAAATTGATCAGTTGGAGTGGAAAATGTCGGTGGATACAGGGAACGTGACTTGTTTTGATGATGTTTTAATGATTGTGTGCCGTTGACATTCGATTGCAGAAATTGTCGTGGAATGGGTGGGTGCGTTGGCTTTTGAAGATTGATGGACAAGGAAGATTTACCAGTTATAATTTGAGCTTCGTGATGTGGTGGAGTAAAATGATCAATGACAGGTGTACTGCGAGATGCATGGGTCGAATCGAAACGATATGGTTGATAACCTTGAGGTTGTATACTGGAAGGATGAACAAAACCAGTTGATGGACGTTCGTTCTGAAAGAAAAACAATGTGTTTGAACGAAATGAATGAGTTGAAGAAAGTTAAACTACATTTTGTGATTTGGATGAACTTGGCCGAGAACTGAATGGAGCTGGAGGAGGTGGATAGAATGGTGCTTGATTTTCATGAGCAGATTGTGAATGAACAAGAATTGTTTTTGTCGATTGATTCGATGGTGATCTAGAAAATGACAAAAGTTTTTCTTCTTTATTCGATTTATTTCCATACTGTTCTTCTTGGTTTTCTTTTCGTTTTGCTCTGAACACAAAGACAAATTTCGTATTGAAAAGTGATCAAAAGAAAATTTACTTTGTCGTAAATAAATTGGAGAATTTAAATTTCTGTCGTTCTCCTTTATTAGGTTTTTCACCATTAGTTGATTCTAAACATATTAAACATTCTTCATTTCACTGAATCGATATGATAATCTTTTACCATCTTGACCATTTTGACAATAGGATTTATCGACAGCATGTCGAAATGAATCATTACATGCACGATTACGTAGTTTACTTTGGCGTTTATGTTCTTCATCTTCAATCGGTCGGTGGATGCTTTCATAGGATGACGAACGTGGTAATCGTGCTGACGAGTCTGGTAATGGTCGAGGCGGTTGTCCTAAGATAGAAAGAATGCGGTCTGAATGTGGAAAATGTCTTCTATTTGTCATCAGTAGTGAAATCTACAATAGCACAGTTTACTGGCAAGGTTAAAACGACGGAAAGCTTGATTGAAGAGAGACTTTTATGTGAATGTTTTAGAAGAAATTGAATATCTGCTCACTTCGTTCGCTATTTGTTCGCGCGTCGTGAAAAGAACGTTGTTTCCATTGAACAACTTGGCTGTTGGGTTGTTGAGTTAAACGACGCTTTTCGGATATACTTTGCCGAAATGGTGTCTCACGTTCAAATGGATTCGCACTAAAAATACATCCAATCAGACAACCAATCTGATGATGTTTATCGACAAACTTACTTTCCATTGACGATCTCTTCTTGATTTTCTAAATGAAGTCAAATGTCATCGATGATTAGCAATTTTCAAGGTAAACCTACGCTTTTCACTCAATGTTGTTTTGGTTCTCATCGGTGATTGATTCATTGTTGAACGATTTTCTGGATCAATAGGTTTAGTCGGCTCTGCAAAGTACACAACAACATTAGAAATTTACTGCCGGCCTGTTCTTACTCATCGGGGGCTTTTGATTCACTGATGGAACGAAGTTCGTTAAGTCTAATTCATTTTCATCGTTCATTGTTGTTGCCACCGGTGGTAAAAGTTCTGTTTCTTTTACATATCTCGAGTTTCTCTCTTGTCCATCATTCAAAACACGAGATATCGTTATTTTGATGAATCCCGGATGAATTTCTTTTCGTACAGCATCATGTAAAATCGCAGCTGCTTCAAGATTCGACAGATTCACCAATGAGGAATCATTAATAATCAGTATTTGGTCGTTTGGACAAAGTCGATTATCCTAAATGCATCAAGATCAGAATTTACAAAAAACATTCCCAGCAAACAATATTTACTCGATAAGCAGCGCCACCCGTTAAAATACTTTTTACAAATATCCCCAAATCAACCGATTGCCCATCGATAATCGACGTCTTCCCCTTCAATGTAATTCCCAATCCTGCTGAAGATGTGTCTCTCAATGGTATGTCAAATGTCATTAACTGTGTCTTCACATCATCGGACATCTAAAAGAAAAATTCGCTTCGATAGAAACTCTTCGTGTTTTTCGCATTCAAAACTTCTTACTAAATCTTTCGGCAATGATCCATCATTTTGTCTTGATATGCATAAATGAACTGTTTCACCGATACGTGTCTCACGTAATAGGCCAACAGCGTCTTGTAATGACATTTGGGTAACATCGATGGAATTGACAGTTAATAAACGATCACCATTACGTAGACGTCCGTCTTCGATAGCCGCACCTTTGGGAAAGATGGTTTTTACATAGATTGGATTGGCAATACCCGTTGGATTATCACGTGAAGCGAGTTTAAAACCTAATCCATCAGAACCTTTTCTTAAAGCGATTTTGATAATTTTTCCTAAACGTTTCGTATTTTGATTAATTTCGTTATTATTGTTCAAATAAAACGACGTTGATAAGGGTTTCTTACGAATAACTTTCAGTTCAAGCTCGGGTTCCAATAGAGCATTACGAAAAATCAGTTGTGCTCTACATCAAAGTCATTACGTTCCAAACTACGAAAATCTCAGAGAAACATTTCGACTTACTTTTCAAATGAGCATTGTTCAATATTAACTCGGTTGATTTCCACAATTCGATCATTAATTTCTAGAATTCCCTGACGTTTGATTCGTCCATCGGGTTCGATATTTTGTAAGAGCAAACCATTCACGTGCTCTTCATCTGTATTGTATGGTATAACATGAATACCTAATGGACTATTCTCTTTAGGTAATGAAATGTAAAAGATCTTGTCAGCAGTTGTTTCATCAGTATGAACATTGTACATTCCTTTGTTATCTGATGCATGCATTAGTGGAGAATGATTCGAATGATTGATATTCATTACATTTGACTAAAGAATAGACAGAACAATATGAGAAATACGAACTATTTTTCAATTCCTACTTGATGTGTGTTGTTTGATTCAGTTTTAATTCGTAAAGATCGAGCTAAATAAAGATATAAATGTAAATTTCATCTTCACATACAATTGTTCAGTGCTATAGATATGAATCAATGTGACATTCGGGCATCTTCTCGATCTCTAATAGGCTTCATAAGTTTGTTGACAATCGATTTCTTTTAATCATACGAAAATATCATAGAGCGCACTACTATGAAGACTTACTCAACTACCTGCTCTAACACATACGCATAATCATTACATAGACACATCATTATTTGTACATTAGAGGTTCGTTGTTGAAAATTTTCATCTTCTTATATTTATCCAACGAGTTCAATCATGTTTAGAAAACGAGCGACTCAAAGGATTCAGTCAAGTGTTTCTTATGGACATTTCATTTTTCATTCGAGACTTTGGAGAGGATCACATACTTCGAAGATCAGCATCAGTGACAATGACTTCATGACGATTATGACTCGACGATGAATTGGGAAGGGGAGGCGGCACACCAGGACGTTGTGGTTCATGATCAGACAAACTTGTCGATAAATTCGAACTTGTAAGACTTGAAGATAATTCTCCATTGCTATTCAAGACTGTTGAATGTGTTTCAACAATAGCAAACAACTAAGAAAATTCTTTAATTAGATCATCTGTTGCTTTAAAAATGAAAATTTACTTCTTCTCGATCGTCAGCGACATCACAAACTCGATCATCTGGATCGACAACAGCACCATTATTCAATCTCAATTGAATTTGTTCACTGTTTATATTAACCACATTGTTGTATGATGACTAGAATGAAACAGACAAATCAATAATTGCATGACTGTCAGACACGTCGATGGGCATATGTTTAAGATCTCTCAAGATCATCGATACTCACCAATTTCGAATATTTAGCTGTTGCCGAGCGAATTAATTCTCGAATGGATAAGTCACCAGTTGGACCACACGGCACAACAACTTTTTTCTCACCGAAATTCACAATTACTTTCATGATATATGATTCTTTGAATAGTTATTCAGACAATGCATCTTATCAGAACTAAAAGAAAGAAGAAAAAAAAGAACGTATATACGATAATGATGATGATTTTAACGATGTACACGGAAGAATGAGAGAGAGAGAGTAATACACACACACACACAGAAGAACAACGTTCCTTTCTTTGTACATATGTATGTGTAGACCATCCGATGAAGGAGGGAACAAAATAGTACGAGATCGATCAATAGGTCGATGTCTAGAACACGTACACATGTATGTGTATGTTCTTTTGAGCGCACGATGAATAAAGAAAATGACATGTGGATAATTATATATGATTTCATATAATTATAAGAAAATGAAGTAGAGGAAAATGTAATAATGATCAATTTGTATATGTTACTGAGTTAAAAATCTAGTTGGTTTCTCTGTTTTTGATAAAAAAAAGAGAATGAAATACGAGTTAGTTAATGTGGCAGGTGTGTAAAACGAAACAAGAAAGGAATAGAACGAGATGAGAAATGAGAAGACAGACAGAAAAGACAAAAAAAGGTAAAGTCATGATTTCAATTGGAGGAGAAAAGATGTCAAACAACGAGCAATCGTTTAAGAGGGCGCCGACTGTCAGAAAAAAAGATAAAAACATTCGATCTTGATATTTATGATCGTTAAATTTAATCTTTCAAAAAGATAAAATGTCTGTTTTGTCTTCAATATAAATAAAAATTCTTTCCACAAAAAACATCAGACACTTTCGTCAATGTTCAGCTTGTTATCAATGATCAAACCATTGTTCTCAAGTAAACACTGACGTTAACAAATGATTTCCCGATTGTTACATAGACAATGTTTTTTTCAAATCGAAAAAACATAGAAGTACGGATACCGAACAGTAATTGAATTCGAACATTTGCAGTTTTCATCGCAAAAATTGTAAATCGAAGTATAATGATTTATTTTTCTTTGAAAAATAGTCTACACGGTGTATTTCGATTAATTCAATACAATGAGGTTGTGTTTAATTTAGAACCGAAAAGAAATTTTATTGACTGGAGTATATCTCGCAATTGATATTCAACACACATTACCTTTCGACGATGCTTCAAGCTAATTGGACTCGAATCATCCGATTTTCGTTGTTTCATCGATGTGAATTATGTCATATCTGTAGAACATCAGTTTGTAATGACATTGATTGACAGATTTGTCGAAATAAAACGATCTTAGACATTACTGAGCTTGGTACTACCCAGAGATCGTTAAGATACTGTCAATAATTTACTTCTTCATCTATTTTACGTATGTCTCAAATGATTTGACGTTTTCGAGAAACGTTCCATAGGATTCCAAAAAGTTTAATAGTGATGATCTTCTCGAGTCACTATGTAAATATTATTCAATTAGACTGAACAATGTATGAATTGTTTAGTTTGTTCAATCTATAATCGCTGTAAAACGATAAGATAGTCAACGAACTTTCTGCAAAGAATTAAGCACAATATTCATCATTTTTAGTAGTTTTCAGCAATAGTACATAGTTCGCGATTATCAGATCGTGATTCTGAATTCCGCATTAACAGATGTAGAATTGTAGAATAATTAAGATTTACCAATCACATTTCGTTATTTCGAAAAAAGTTTTCTTTCCCGATTTGTGAAGGTTTGAATGAAACGTCCTTTACTATTCTTCAAGCAATAAAAACAATCGTATCGCAACAGCATTTTCATTGTCTATCCCATAGTATACGCTAATGATCCTTCTTTCGTCGCTGACATATTCTGGAAGTGCGTGAATATGCTTTACATGACTGAGACATGCAATGAAGCGAAGGATGATGATATCGATCATTACTTCCGTCGTGTTGTGTGGAGACCATAAAAGCAACAAAGAAAAAAAAGACAACGTCTTCCCCATCTGTTGACCATGAGATGATCATTTTACAGCAAAAACAGAGTCGTTTTAGAGCAGAAGCAGCAGTTTGATATCAAGGTTAGAGAAGAAGAATCGATCGAGTGAAAACATTTGCCATTGACACCTATTTTTCAAAATGAGAAGTACCGAATGACGCAAATATTTATGCAGTCAACAATCACATATATGATCTCTCGAAAATCAATTTTTTATTTTCTAAATACTTGACTAATAATTTTTTTCGACATCGAAATTTATATGGATTTCGCTCGGCGGCATAGATATTTGATTAAATGATTTTTTTTTGTTTTTTTTATTAAAATGGAAATTATCCAGTTCGCATGAGTAGTAGTAAACGAAGAAGTGGATGAAAAAAAAAGTCATTCGCTTCTTTCTCCTTTATTTTTACGTATGAAGTGAACAAACAAACGACGTATGAAATTGAATCTCAAGGATATTCCAAGTGCATACATATACTTATATCAACGTGAAAGTAAAACACGCAGTTTCGACAAGTATAGTGACTTCAATAGATATTTTGCATTGAAGGAACGAATAGAGTTACTCTTTTTATTTCCTATCATTACCTTTTTTGGTATTCGTATCTCTTTTTTGCCTACTGTATGAGAAACTTAATCGGATAAGACAATAGCTTTCGAAAGTCATAAATATGATCTTAGTCTAGTTTTTTATAATAGATCAAGTTGGTGAATCACTCATAAAGATGACTAAACGCACGTAGGGGTGTAGTATTTGAGGTATTCCTTCTATGGTTGTTGATTATATATGAGTTTACGAACGAATAGAGTGATTCATTTTGTAGATATTGTGACGTGTTCTTTTGTCTGACAATCTGATGAAATTGTACGAAATAACCAGCAACCGTAACGTAAAACAACATTCTTGTTGTTAATATAAAAATCCTTCTTTTTTCACACCTTTGCTGCTAATGGAATCAACTTAAGTAGAAAAGTATTCTTGCGTAATTATGTATTTGTGTAGCAGAGAGACAAATCTGATAGAATGAGAGAGTTCTTCATACATGTCAGGAATGCGGATAAGAGCAAGAGAAAAGTAGTTGATAATTTGCTTCCTTACTCATCGACAGGAGAATTTGTATGAAGGACTTCATCTTCCTTTATCTACTCCTTCAGCTAACGGTACTTTTTCGATGAATCATCCGTGTATTTGCCTCTGAATTCATCGGTTATTTCTTTTCTTTTCGCTTTTTCCCTCTCATTCTTCCCACTCTGAGTAGAAGGAAGAAAAAATACATATACTTGTATATATATATAAAGCGACTTGATGTGTTGCTCTTTTTTGTTAACATCGTTCTTTCTACGAAGAACCTATCCGTCAAATCGGTTTCATTCCAGATAAAATTGGATTTCCACGTGATAAAAATTTCTTTTACTAAAACTAATTACAATGAGTATTGGTGCTTGCGTCGGAATTAAAGACGCATTGGCCGCTAGCCGATTAGCTAATGGCAATGGAGACAATTATCAATTGAATCAATATATTGGAAAGAGTTTTTACGATGGTGAAAACTTTCGTGCTATAATCGAATGCCTTGACGATGGTAAGTTTTATTTCATTGTTTTACTTCTTCTTATCTATTTTCGTCGTAGGGTATAACATTGCACAGGATTTGATTGAGTTAATGCAAGATTTTCGTGATAACGAGCGCGAACAAGCTCGTACTCTTACCTTACTATCTGAAAAATGGCTAACACGATTGAAACAACAATCATCTCTGGCTTCTTATCATACGACTAAACGTGCTCAATTCGATGTTGTTCGTGTAACAAAAGAACTCGTTCGTGTTAGAGAAGCAACGTGCGCTGAAATCGATAAAGTAATCGATAAATATCGTGCGCATATTGATGAAACATATATCAGTGAACGTCTTCGGCCTGGTCGTAAACATCGTCGATCGAATGAGTTCAAGAAACTATTCAAAACATCATATGCATCACTACGCGAAGTCTCCGACGAATTGGAAAAACTACGCACACAAGAAAAGAAAGCTCAGGATGCTGTACGTACAGCTGAACGTGCTTGTGAAATTCTCGAACTCGATTCAACAACAACTGATAAACATCTAGCGCGTGCTCATGAAGATCAGAGTAAAAAATACACAGTGTTAATCGATATCAAACGGAAAATTCGCGAAACCAAAAAACAGCATAAAAATGCACAAAAAGTTTATCGACACAAAGCGATGGAAATATTTAAACAATGTCAATATGAAGAAGAAGAACGATTAAATCAAATACGAGAAACTCTACTGGACTTCATTCAAGCTATGCATACGCCAAAACAAACGAACGATTTGAATGAAATCTTCAGCAATTTATCGAATAAAGTGACTACGCAACAAAATTCATTCGACGATCTTCTCTTCTGGGCGAAAACATACGGTATCGAAAGCGAATTGTCAAAATCGTTACCATTAACGCCAGTCGAGAACGACGATGAAGAAGATGACGACGAAGATCTTATTGTCGAATCTCGACTAGCAAAGAAATCGTCTAGTCATGAAAGTCACAAACATGAAAAACACCCATCAACGATAAGAATAGAAAATGAGATCGATGATGAAGAACCATCGATAACAGTATCTGCGAAAGCTCGACTGCGAAAAGCAAGACCTGCGAATAATTCAACGGAGAAGAAACATCATACAACAACAACTGATCTATCATCAACAACTCTTGCTGTGCTCAATCATGTATAATGAAGATGCTTTTGAATGTAAAGTTCGCTAACCAAAAAATCCGGAAATATCCTTTTGATCTGCACTTCCATTTTTTTGTTTGTTATCTAGGCAATTGTTTTTCCCGTCTTTTGTTTGTACAGTAACTGTTGTTATAGTGAAAAGCATATTTTGTATTTTTTTTTATATAAAATTCTCATCGCTGTGAACGGACATATAAAATAAAACTCTTCAGATATAATTAACCTGCAAACTTTCTTTGATTGATGTCAAAATAGCAACGTCATGTTTGTATTCATAAGTATGTCGTTAAGAAGTCGATGAAAAATGAGAGTTTGTTTATAAATGACTAAAGAAATCGCACGTCAATGGTGACTTTGTGCATCTCTCGATTGTCATCGGAAATCAGAAAGGATTGATTTCAGTTTTTACGCGATGACCTTTCGCATGTTCTATTTTAACATTTATTTCATATGACATTTGAAGAAAATTTGTCTAATCAGCCAAACTGCAACTCCGACGCCGTGTAAAACTCCATAGAATATTGCAGTATGAAAACTGACAGACGCGATTCGTCGTTTACGTGGATAAGTGAATAGTTTTATATGTATGAAGTGAGGCACTCATCAATTTTACAAGAGTGCTTTCAAAATTATGAGAGCTTTTTCAGTTAATATCAAAATTGAGTCGATGTGATTAAGATATGAGGGAGAAAAGCCTCTCGATTTCATTGTAATCTTTATATTATTATCTTTTTTTTTCTCGTTGAAATTCGTTTAGAGAAATAGAAGGGATCACAGTAATGGGATAATTTCATGAATTGGTATCACACATACACACATAACATAAAATACACAAGAATAGAAGAAAAAGAAACATTATTTCTACGAAAATGCATTTTGTAATTTATTCGCCAACATGTTCATTGTTGGTCCTTGGGTTAAACTCGCTGGTAGTTTTTGCAAACTAGCTGGCAATTTCGATTGCAAAGATTGACTGGTGTTGTTGATCGTATTCTGTATTGAATCAGATAGTTTGGTTGGAAATTTAAATGTCGAACTACGCGCACCCATGGTAACATTTGGTTGAGGTATTGACGATGATAAACCTTTACCAATTAGGCCACCGTTTCTCATCGACGAAGAATTCGACTGTCCGCCATCGAAACTGGCGGCGTTGCTGTAGTTTGATAGGGGAGGATTACTTGTTGAACCTTTATCACCGTACTTCTTTTCATAGTATTTGCGAACAACTTCAGGTGTAGCTGCAGCGTTGAGACCACCTTGTGCACCATTTCCAAAGTCAGACAATCGACCGGACATAGATGGGTTTTGTATAGTCATCTGTAATTCGTGAATTTTCTTCTCTAATTGAAAGTTTTCATTCTGTGCTGCTAGCAGTTCACGCCTTAAATACGAATCAAATCAAAATCGAATACACTTCTCCAATAAAAATTTTTCACATACATTATCTGCTGCTTTTGTTTTCGAACGATATCATCCAATGGTGAATATTCCGGCAAATACATTAAATGAGAGAAAAATATTTCAATTTCAATTGTCACACATTGTTGTTCATTCAAATATCCACGATCATTCAACTACAAAACCCAAGAAATCGAACGCTTGAATAAGAATGCAAGATCTTAACTCACTTCATCGACATCCAATGTTGTACTAATTTCCAAGCCTTCATCGCTTTCTTTCTGTGCATAATATTTCGTGACGGGCTTCGGAAATACGCTGGTGGTAATCTTCGAATCATTGAAATTTCGAACAGTGATGTTAAAACATATTGAACGAATGTAGTCCGTGGGAATTTTGAATATATCCGAATAATAGAGACGTATGATGAAACATTGCTCTTCAATGTAAGCTTCAACAGTCCATGCTTGTTGATCTTTGTCGAGAAAAGCAATGGGAACTGGATTCGGAGCAAATGGATCAACAATAATTGGTATGACAGCTAGAAAAAGAAAAAGCTCATTAGAAAACAATCGACAAGATGAATGAACTCGTCTGGATTTATCAATTTTGACAAGGAAGAAGACAATCGAATCGGAATGACGATATTTTGATTTACAAATGACCTCGGAAATGTTGTTTTCGTCTGCTGATGTGATGGCTAAGGTTTATAATATACAATTTAACTTATGTAAAAGAAAGTTACTATTGGTTCCTGTTTCATCTGCGTGAATAAATACATAACACAGGAAGCAGAAAAAACCAAGCGGAAAAAAATAATCCGCAAATTAAGAAGAAACAAATCAGTGCTCAGACGGATTTTTTTCTCTTCGAAAATTCTCATCTCTACACATCAGTTCGAGTGACGTCGGTTCTATTTTTAAGTCAAACTTAACATATCATGTTACACATCACTATCTCTTTGGAATAACACCTGCAGAAACACTTCAAGGGTCTATTTTTAGTTGAAGGTTGAATTCATTCCGATATGCGAACTCTCTCTCTCTCTTTCTCCTTTCATATTGATCACAAAAAAATCTGCAGAAGATGTTTGACATGCTGTTTAATCTGATAGATTTAACATTGACTTCTCTAATGAGGAAAACATCCTATCATTAGTTTTTCCCGTTGTGAACTTCTTTTCATCGGACTAGTAATTAAATTCGTATTTATATAAGTCTCTCGAATTTCTAGATTTCCTCTTCCGGATTTATCAACACACAGATATAGTTTCATGCGTTTTCTTTTCAGATACTTACTAACAGCATCTTTAAGTTCAACATTCACAGTGAATTTTCCTTCCGTTTGCAGTAAATCTCGAACACGATCGATACGAAATGGTCGACAGAGACCGTGAATGTCCGTATAATTAATTTCATATGTATTCGTATCGTTCGGATTTGTCGATTTACGTTCTTGATACGAATCCCATGAATACGTTCCAGTTCCAGCGATTAATTTCACACGATAGGAGATTTTAACAGAATAATCACATGGAGTTAAACGCTGTAGATACAATCGAAAATGTCCGAGTTGACCGACGCTATCGAGTTTCGGCTGAATAACCATATTCCATTCGTAGTTCGAATAGAAAAACGAAGGCGTTTCGATCTTTGCATCGATCGGTTGGCGATTATTCGTTGGCTGCATAACATGTGCATATTGCGGATTGACTAATTGTGGACTTAGTTGTACTTCAGTTATGTACGATATAGAGAGATTCTTAATTTCGAGTTCACATTGAATATTTCCACGTTCGTCCATATATTCGACTGAGCATAGACGATTAACTGATGTAAACGATTTTCGTCCATGTAGAGTAATTTTATTGGTGAATTTACAGTTCCTCTCTGTAAATGATTCATTACGTGTAAAATGTTCTCGACATAATAGAGCAATACTGAGATCAAGTGTCATTTCAAGTCGTTCAGTATCTCGACTACGATGAAGAAGAAATACATTGATTTGATCGCCATTCTTAACAAATGTCAATGCAAATGGAACATGTCGACAAACAAATTCTCGCGTAGTTAATTTTTCCTCTGTTCCTAATAGAAATGAACTTGGAAGAATGAATGTAAATAAACTAAAACGAGAGAAAAAAGGAAATTGATTTGTGCAAACAACGAGCTGAGTTCATACTTTGTACTAAATTTATCTTCAAATAAAACAAAACGTGTGAAATGTGCCATTTAATCGAAGAACATTGCTTTGTTGATCTGAAAGATATACATATATTTGTGTCATTTCTGTATTCCTGCTTTTCTCTTCTATCTGTCGGTTTTTCAATATGAATGTTCACTTGGGAATTAATGTTTACCCTTAAGTTCTTTTTTCTTATTCCGATTATTAATGTAAAAACTATGAGAAGGAAATAAGTAATACTTCTTGTTTGAAAAATTGCTCAACGAACTAATCGTTTTCATTGGATGTTGATATTCAAGCTTGAATAGCAATGAAAAAACAAATTCTATAGAAGAAAATATCGATAAAAGAATAGATTTTCTATCGGCATGCAACCGATGTGGATGAGAAAACTTATGATTAAAAACGAACAAAAGCCGATTTACTAATACATTTACATTTCTGTTGTCCGAATGCGCAATGATATTTGAATCTGTCATTTCATTGTAGTTAAGACAAGTTTCTTCGCAAAAAGTGTTCCTCTCGTTTTTAAGGAAATTTATTTTGAAAGTTTACTCTCTCTCTCTCTTATTCTCTTCAAACGAGAGAAACCAACCGGATATCCGCCTCAAGTGAGCCGAGCCTTCTTTAGCTACCCATATATTATGCACGGTCTCACATGCCATCATTAACATGATGAACACGCATTCATATTGANACTCTCTCTCTCTCTTATTCTCTTCAAACGAGAGAAACCAACCGGATATCCGCCTCAAGTGAGCCGTGCCTTCTTTAGCTACCCATATATTATGCACGGTCTCACATGCCATCATTAACATGATGAACACGCATTCATATTGATAAAGACAACCAAAAAAATTTATATTCTGTCCAGTTGAAAGAGAATGTTTCTTGTCATCGAGAAGAAAACAAGAGAAAAAAAACTAATGCTTATCATCATTTGATCAGAGAATCTATACTTACAGCACTTCTCTTCATCCGCTGAGTGAATGAATGAATGAATGTACATGTCTCATAGACTTACGATTCTATCTGATTGTGATGGTAGCGGTTGGCTGCATGAATACACATTCATATAAGACGCGAGTCCAAAGCGGAAACTATTTTTTCCTTTTTTTTTTGTCTCGCTTCTTCGACTCCTCCGTCTCGTGCTACACACTAAATATATATATATATCGAAGACAACCTCTAGAATCGATTAGATGAATGCTGTTCGCCGTTGTTGAGAACGAAAGGAAAGTGATGTTTTTTAATACATTTAAGTCTATCTAACGTTGATCTGCTTTTGATCGATTTCTCTGATGATCATCAGCATGATCATCTACGGTTGTGAACACATCATATTTTGGTTCGCGTTTAAGTTCTCTCAACGACAACACATGCGAAAGAAAAGAAGTCTCAAAGTCTTGCCTTATTTGATTTACGCGCTTGCTAAATGAATGAACGAAGAACGAGTTGTTTCTCGTTCTTTGCTGATGTTTCTTTCTTGTTCTCCCCTTCTTCTTGCTTCTGTTGTTGCTGCTGCTACTGCACTACTACTTCGTCTTCTTGTTCTACTCTTTCTTTTCCCAGATTGCCGTCACAAAAAAGTAGAGAGTGAAGATTGAACATGGCAACGTTAGATGGTTTCTCTTTCTCTAGTGCAAGGGAACATTAAAGTGAATAAGAAGTCGCTCTACATAGACACTAGTGTATGGAGATTTAGATGGCACATGCAAATACAAGAATGCACGCGCTCGTATCAAAGAGAAGAAGAGAAAAGCAACGGATTCTTTAAAAAAAAATTGTTTGAAGATATTTGTATGCATAACTAGAATCGAGCAATGTTGTTATCTCAATATTTATTAAATATATGAAAGCAAATGTCTGAATAAAAAAAAAAGAACACGTCGACATAATCTATTCATCGAGTCGTTTTCTTTTTTTGCTTGGAATTGAACATGTAATTTACTTCATATAACATAGAACATAACAAATATCGTTAGTAAATCTGAAAAAAGCCTAAAATCACTAGTCAACATTGACATACAGTCGTATGGAGATTTGTTGACAACATCAGGAAAGAGGCTGAGCGAAAAAAAGAAGACATGTGAACAATAAAGATAAGAAAATAATCGAAGTGTCACAAGACTGTCAATACGACGAGATTTTTCCATTCAGAAAAACATTGACATATCATAAAATTAGACTCGATAATTAATCATGATTATCATTTGTTCGATGTTCTTTGTCTACGGCGATTTCTCAACTAAAATCAATTAGATTCTTTGTTTCGTCAATTGACAAAATCGAAATCACGGTTAATTGACTTGTTAGGAGAAAGAGACACTCGAACGCTGACACAAACTCTCAAATTTTCCTTCTCGGCAACTGAACTCAGAAATTCTTAGATTTCTCATTAATCAAAGAATACCTTTGAGTATGTTAATTAATAATAACTACTGAGAGTCTCTTTTGTTAATTATATGATTTAACCACACATATCACCAGAAAGAAAAACTACTTCATTACTCGTCTACATCTGATCAAAGTCATACTTCATGAATATATAATAGATGTTATTTTCAACATGAAGAGCCAGTTGTCGACATTCCAAGCGGGCAAAGTCGACTGGAGTTCGGTTGGACTGGTTAAGGAAAATTCCAGTCGATTAGGTCAATATGACATTTGTGATTGAATTTAATGAATGAGATTATTTGTCGCATGATTACAAATAAATTTGACATGCAAATCAATGTTTCAATCGAACACTAGGCATAGTTAGTCAAAAAAAATATGATTATATCAGCATCTGATTAATCCGAGCCACAAAAAAAATATTCAAGTGACACAGACACAAAAAAGCACGACGAGATTGTTTACTAAAAATTCTTATATCCGATTGAAAGCTTTACGGCAGGTTGAACTTCCTTCCTTGTGCATTTGCTATTTTTTTTTCGAAGATTTTATCGGTGCTTTTAATGTATTAATGAAGAGGCTATAGAATCAAACTCCTGAAAATAACTTACTTATTCTGCCTATTTGATATGCTCGAATAAAATAACTCTTTAACTTTCTTCTCCACGATAGACACACTTCAAGTTTGTTTTCTATTGTAAAACTGAGAAGAAGAAGAAAAAAAAACGGCAAGTTCAGTTCTGTTGAAACAAGGTTAGTTTTATTTTCGATTCTTTTTCTTGTAGCGTGCTTTGCGAGCATTCGAACGAGTTCGGATTTGGTTGATCAATGGATCATTTCGTCCAAGGAAATATTCGATCACTTGAGTTAAATTAAGACCATCCGATGGATGATGATAATAGGAAAGACATTCATCTACTCGATGTTGAATGTCTTCATCAGTATGGAGAGATTTCATTTGGCCTTGAGTCTTTTTCTGTGCGAGAGAAGCATTCGGTTGAAAATCTTCTTTGAGGATTGTGATGAATTCAATTAACCGTTCTTTGGATAGTTTTTCGTAGGAATTTTGAAAGGCTTGGTATAGACCGACGATTTGCTCTTCACGCGGCGCGTCAACGACCGTCCTAGAGATAGTTCTCGATGAAACTATGAACATGATGGCGAACTCTCGTTGTTTTACCAAACAAAATCAATCATTTCGGGAAAATCAATCGAACCATTCGTATTTTTATCGTATGCTTGAAAAAGTATCTCTGCTAGACGATGTGCTTCATGAGATTCCGTCAATGATCGACACATCGATCTGACAGCTGACTCAAAATGTTCGGTATCCAATGTCGTTCGTTGCGGACCGGTGATTTGTTGAAAGAGATACTTCAATCGTTTGAGATGTTCATCGTCATAACCTGTATGTTCTTTTAATTGAAGATCTTCTGACGATAATTGAATTTTATCTGTTTCAATATCATATATTGAAATTCGACCTAAATCGGCATGTTTTCGATCCGATGACATAATTAACTGCAAAAAAGAGAGAAAGAAAAAAAAATAATCGTAATAATTAACAATCATAGAGCGCTGTTTTTTTTTCTTCTGTCCTCCTCTCTTCTTGACTATTCGAAACTCAATCATCTCCTTTTCAAATCGAATTTCAAGTGTTGTACTGTCACTATTGACGTAGCGTTATATTTTTCTTCTCCTTTGCTACTACTCATATGACTTATTTGTTAACTAATGATGCTGCCAAAAGGTTTCAACTAAAGAGAAAAAACAACGTGCAAGCAAACGTTCGCCATAATTATGTCAGAATTATATTCTTTTGGAACATCAGAGAATCGGATTTCCAATCCTGACGAGCGATCTATACTCGATATCCCTCGGAACTCTTCAAATCAAAAGATAGAAGTGTATTACTTAAGCATCGAGAATCATCCACAAATACATTCCGACGAAATAACAAAGTCTGTGCCGCCGCCGCCGCCGCTAACAACGCGTCGAGATGTCAATTCAGCTCGGTTTCGACCTGAGCTATATCATCTTAGTACTGAAGATGCGGATGCGAAGATATGCACTTGTCGTTCATCACCGGAATTAATCAGCAAGAAACGGAAGTCGTCTGTATCATGTGAAGCAGGAGCGGAAATGTATTATATAAGTACCGAAAGCCGGAAAATACCTGGCACTGTTGATGATGACAAACAAGGATTGTATAGAACCGCTAATTATCAACAACTTAAATCAACTGCTTTTTCAACGCCTCCTGATAGTCCAACAGATAAGAAAGTAATCACGTATACTTTAATCAAATCGAATGAAAACAAATTTTCATCGTCTTTTTCCCCGACTCCCTCACCGCCTGTAAGTATACTTTCCTCGAAAGAGTATATTTTCTGCCGAAGTATACCTAGTTTTTTTTTAGTTACAACCAATTAAGAAAAAACAAGCTGTCACACTTACTGCAGTTAATACCAATAATGCAACGATGTTACCACGTTCGAAAGCACTGGAAAGTCTTCAACGAAGCATGAAGAAATATCGCTTTTATGGATATTGAATGTTTTTCTTTATTAAAATACAAAAGAAAAAGAAGACCAAAGAAAGACAATTCGGCGAAAGTTCAAGACTATTTTCTTGTTCTAGTTTGTTTGTTGTTGATTAGTTGGAGACGAGAAGGGTCGAGCTGGCTCGCTTGTTTGATTCATTGTTTGATTCATTGTTTGATCAACAGGTTGTTCTTTGTCCGCCGATCCATCATAACATCGACTCAATTCAAACAGATTCAATACAGATACCTATCAAATCAAAACACAAACAATGCGAATGAATGGAAGAATGACAAAAGTAAACTACCGAGCCCGATGGGAGTGGTGGAAGTTTGAAAATTGTCGGTGTTTGCGTTAAACGAGGATCGGTTGTACCTGCGGAAGTAGAAATAACATAAACAAAAGACAGATTTTACTTAGAATTTACCAGTTGGATGAAAACATCGATAAGCTCTCGGATTGAAAACATTCCCGGAACGAAAAGGCATAAAAACTGCTGGCAAACACAAATCTAAAACATTGTGTACTATTTATCAGAGAAGTACTTCGTCAAATTGAATGTTACCATCGTAGCGTTCGCCATGTTGATCAGGTTTATGCAATCGATGTTGTATTTCCATTTGCCGTTCCATCGTTTGTGCTGTTTCTTGTTCGATTTTAGTTGCTAGTTGACGACGATGAGTTGCACTTCGTTCCAAAAACATTTGATAACGATCAAGAAACTACATACGAACAGTAGTTTCTTCTTCGTTCAGTTTTTTCGTACAAAAACTTACACTATCTGAAAGATGTTTACCATAATTGGGTGTTCGATGATGTTCAAGATTAATATTTCGCTTCGAGGATGGTCGTGTTGGATGTCTGAAATGGAGAATAGGCAAGTATTTTCGGTTGTTCATCACCAATCTACGTACTGCGACATAACGTTCGACGACTCTTCTCCAATAATATCCTGAATATTTTCTTCAAATTCTGAGACTTCATCCATTCGATTCGATCGATGCGAAGGTGATTCACTAAGAAGCTTCCGTAAACGTTGAATTTCCGCTCTAGAGAAATAAGTATTATTTATTTGTAGAAACGAGAAATGTCTTCAGAAACAGACTGGTAACTTTCATGAAGTCGAGCAATTTTATCTTCATACGACACTTTGATCATTTCCAGTTGCTCATCAGTCTCCTCGGTCGCATCAATGGTCGGTACGATGTCTTCTTCCTCGAGATCTACCGTTGAAGGTACGACTATCAACGGAATCGTTTGTTCAGATGTTTCATTCGAAATCAGCGGTGATGGAGAATACACCATTGCTTTCGCTGTTGGTGTACGAACTTTCATTGGCGCAGTCACTAGAGCGAAACGTAATGAGCTAAATTAAAATCATATCTTCTTATTTACTTGTGCATTTCGTTGCATGAGTTATTTCGACTTTATTATACCAGAACATATGTAATGGGAGTTTGGCGATGGGTTCACGTTTGTCGTTGTAGACAGTGAATGTTTGTGGTGTACGTGATATCCAAGATTTGTAGAGATCATAGGACAATTCTTCGAATTCGAGTTGAGTTGTCCTTTGTGTCGGTTCGGGTTCGTTTGGTCTACTGTCATCGATAGTCACTAGTGGTGCGGTTGATGGACTATGCAAATTGGGAAGATCCTAGAAGATAAGATGATTTTTATTGATAATGATATATGATGGACATCTTACGAGCATTCGTAGATCTTCGGATGAAAGCACAAGTGATCCACAGAGTTTTCCGTCGCCAAAAATATCGATATTAACCGCTTCAGGATCCACTCCAGTATCCAACAAAGATCGACGTTTCAAAACAGTTGGCATGGGAATAAATTGTTCATCACATTGTTTTCTATCAATAGCATTAATGTCATTTTCTTCCTGAAGTGGCGTATTTTCATTTCGACTTTTCGCTCCTATGAGATCGAACAAAGCTTTTGAATTTCTGGAACGTGCTATGAAAATTTACTTGGTTCGACCGATCTTTGCAGCTTCCGTCGGCTATTTCCTCGGTCAGGTGTATGGACATCTTCAACTTTCAATGTATTTGTTTTCTGCAATCGATAATTAGAGCGTTTCCATAGAAAAAACTGAACCTACTTCAAAAGTAAAAATATTTGTTTTATAAGTTTGTCCTTGAGTATGAATAACACATTGGAATGTTTTCTTTTCGAGTCCGACGGGCCGATAAACACGTATAATTAATGCTCTAAACCAAACAAATGATTACAGTTGCAAACAATTGAATTATTTATTACTTGGTAGAAAGAACATCACCCGTCGATGTTTCCTGATTATCGAAATCAGGTGTCGCTTGAATTTCAACATCGATTTGCTTCATTTCAGGTTCCTGTGGTTCGACTTTCGCAGATCCACTTGTTCGTTTCTTTCGCTGTTTTCCTGCACTACTTAAGAAACTTCCTTCGTTATCACTTCGAATATCATCGTCCAAGTCGGAACCCTGTTAAAATAAGAATTTCTTTCTGAAATTTGACTCAAATGGAATTGAAACTAACCTGCTGTTGATCATCGATTTCTCTTATACTACTTTGATCACCTGAGGAATCAAGTTGATCGAGGTCTTCAAGTTCATCTTCATCGCCCATCGATTCTCCTTTCGATAGAACATCGCTCTCGGACTTTGGACGTGGAACACTCGAATTCAACCATTCGATCACATGTTCATAACCAAGTTGAGATGTCTAAAACGCAAATAATCAATACACTCCTACGAAAAAAAAGAATAATTACTTCGCGAAAAGTTTTCAAACGAAATTTCCACTTTCGTACATTTGATCTCGGCAAAGCTAATTGAATATACCTTAAAAACGAGTGTCACACTCATTCATACATCAATTCCATTAATTAACTTACATTTTTTCCCAATTACTTATACATCTCATCTGTTGGTATCGTTTATTATTTCCTTCCATCAATGTCAGCCTTTGCAATGCCGCGTTAAGCATTCTTTTCTTCATTTCATTGCCTTCATAAAATTTCTTCATAATTACACTCTTCATATCAAATGGTTGACTATATAAGTGAACAATGCGAACAAGTTCATGAAGAGGTATTTGAGATAATGAATAAGCACGATATAAACGTGAAATAACCAATGTTATTCGTGTCGATACATTTGGAGGCAGAAATTGTAGGAGTAAAGTGTCTTTCAGCTCGAGTAATTCGAACATTGAATTATCAATTTCTGATAAACTGTTCTCGACATGATCACAGAGCATGCTGAACTTATTCGCTTCTATTCTCACACTCGGAGCAAACTCTTCGAGTTCTTCGAATGGATCTGGCTCTTTTTGTTGTTGTTCTTCTTCTTCTTCTTGTCTATCATTATAATAAGCTATGTCAGTATGATCATCGAATCCAGATCGTTCATCATCTTCTCCTAAACGCGATAGTTCCCGTCGATCTAAATGAAATCGATAGATTGGAATCATCTAGATCGAACTTTTACCTTCAAATCTATTCATGAATTAATTGCAGGTATTTAGAATTTCTAATGTGAACTTTCTTTTTGTTCCTTCTTTCTTTGCATGACATGCCATTTATGTTAAAATAAACTATGACTACCAGCCTCTTCCATTCAATGTAAAGAAATGTGTCAATCGATCGTTTCTGTTTATTATTTAATCTAACACATATACGCGTATTAAACATAACTGTAGAAAGTAAATTACGTATAACACAAAAGGAAAAATATTGAAATGAAATGACAGTTCAAAAGTGAGTCTGTTCATAAATCCGATTGAGAACTATGAAAGAAGTGAATTTGACTACATTACGATGTCATCAAGGGATTCTTCATCGAAACCAATGGCTTTATTTCGAGCTAAATGGAAAAAGAATGATTAGGAAGACAAGATACTTGCCAAAGAGATGTTTCTACCTGCAAAATAGAACGTATCGGAATCATCATCTGGTACTGGAATAAAAGGAGCCGGTAAATTCGATAGATTGTCCCAATCAATCGTATTGAAAAAAGGTTCTTTCTTTAAATCTAAAGAGAAATCGTGTAGACGTCTCTCTTCTAATCTAACCATTTACCATCTAACTGGAATCGCGAGGTCGCATCATACTGAAGTAAGCCTTTAATAGCATTTATTGCATCGTCGGAAAGCTGATTGTCATCGTCATCTTCTCCAGGCCATGCAAGTCGATAATTCACGATATTCGATATAATCGCACGTGGAGATTCGTCTGTAAAGGGTGTGACACCAACAAGAAATTGATACAAACATACACCAAGCGCCCAAAAATCAATCGCTGCAGCTAAAAGAAAGACATCTTATGCTACCAAGTCAATCGTAAGAGTCACTTATCTACATACTATGATTTTCATCCTGTAATAAGATTTCTGGACCTAAATCAAGCGATGAATAAGAGAGTATTGATGAAAACGATCTACTTACTGAGATAATCAGGTGTGCCTAAAACAGGTCCTGATACATTGAAATGTATGGGTGATTTCGAAGAACTACTTCGAATCGATGCATCGGTTAAAATTCGACCGCTTGAATAATTCTGAGCAAGACAAACGGACTACAACGAACTCATTCGTATCAAATCTTAGTTTACAAAAAGTTCTTTTCTCTATACTTTCAAAGAACTATCGTCGATAGGAAGAGATAATTGATTTGCTGGTAAATCTTCTATTGGAATGATATTCGCATTATCATCATTATTCACGGATTTTTCGTTTGATTCATCTTCATTCATTTCTAATCCATCGATTGAACATCGAATGGGAGATAAACATGGCGAACCAGATGAGCAAACACTCGATACGGTGGTTGTCGCAGTTATTGTTCGACCAATACCACGAAATAGGCGATATTGATTGTGATGAGCTGGTGATGAAGCAAGTAGTCGTGAAACTGTCTTTGGATAAATTCTTGGTTGTTGTTTGATTGTTTGAGATGTATTAGATGAACGTTTATTTGGACTCGAAAAAAGAAAGTCAGATGAATGATTTGAATTTGTATCATCGAAGTCATAATTTCCAAATGATAATGGTTCATTTTCAGGAATACATGCTGGTAATGCTTGACGATAAACACGTAGACTACAGTCAATTGGACGTGACGATGAATACGAACGATAGGAACTATTATTCGAATAAATATTTTCGATGGATGCTGACGAATGAAATGGATCAGAATCTGATTCACTCGATGACTAAATTGAAGTATCGAAAAAGAAATAAGAAAACGAATATGAAAAGACTTCCTTACAAAACTAAAATCCGATGTTAAAGATATGATTTGACCTGGTGTACGAAAAGCTCGCATTTTATACACCGATGGTGTACCAATTACATCAGCCACTGAAACTTCTAGGAAAACAAACCCGTGTTAAACCGCACTGATAAACTTCGAATTTACTTCGTCGATTGCGTATTTCTGATAGGCCAAGATCAGTCAATTTGATATGCCCGGTTGCGGATATTAAAACATTATCTGGTTTTAAATCTCTATTGAAAAACAAATCATGATGGATGCTACTCAACGAACTTTCTTTGCTTGTTTTTACCGATGTACAACACCTTTTCGATGTAGATAATCGAGTGCGAGAGCGATTTCTGCAACATAAAACTGCGCCTCATGTTGTTCCAGAACATGTTTGATACATAAAAATGACATGAGATCTCCTCCGATCATGTATTCCATGACTAAATAGATATGTTCTTTGCTTTGTAGAGAATAGAAAAGACGAACTAAAAATTGACTATGCAGTGTTGCTAATGCATCACGTTCATTAAGAACTAAGGTAAACAAATCATGTCAAACGATATATCTTGGTAGAAATTATTGTAAATACTTTGATCGATCAAATTTTTCCTACGTATATCCTGTTTATTAATCACTTTAATCGCATATTTGATCTTGTTTTCATCAGTTTTTTTCGTTGCTAAATACACTCGACTAGAATAAGAAGAAATCAATGCCAGAAGAGTGCTTATTTTAGTCAATTTCATTCATACCCATAACCACCACGACTAATTGTCTTCAGAAAATGAAAATCTTTGATAGTCGGCAACTATATCATAGTAAACGATTTCTAATCGAAGAATTAACTTACTGCCACAGATTCTCACCTGTAATTTATTCTTTTCAGTCGTCATTAATGGAGACGAATGCATGAATCTGAACGTGAAATAGCGTAACTGATAGTTTTCGTTCGAAGTCAGGTACTGACCGAAGAGAAAACAAAGGAAACGTATCTTTTCTTTCGAATAAGATGTCGCTTGTGATAGATAACATTCAGTACGTTTCTTCGCATTGATTTTTGAACTTATGAACCATGGTTGTCTATCAGGATGATACCAAAAGTTGTTTTATTCGTTAAAATAAGCTGATTTTGCTTGTATAGATTTGTTTTTATAGAAAACGAAAAACAGAATCGATGCTAGTTTATGATTATTGAGAGAACTAAATGCTACGAAAAATAGAACTAGTTGAACAAAATATAATAATACATAAAACTTAATGACATAGATACAGAAAGAAGAAGTAGAGATCTTTGAATAAAAACTGTTCATTTTTCTGTCTCATCATTGGTATAAACAAAGGGAAGAAAGACGTTGGCCTAGAACACAAGCACTGCGTTGATCATTGTGACTTGGTAGAATTTATCGTATGAATGGATACTACTGTTCAGATTTATAGAATTTTCTAAACTTTTGCAGGTATTTAAAAAACAGAAGAAAGTTAGGAAAGATTGAATACTAAGAAGAGAGTTGTTGCTATTCTTGTTCTTTGACTTGTTCTAACATTGTTTGTTGCTGTTGACGTAGAAGACGTTTCTTCGCTTGTTCTCTTGCACTTGTGAAACTGAAATCTTCAATTGTGTCGTCATATAGAACAGCATAGTCGATATCTTTGGCGCCTGTGTCGCTCGTTTCGTCTTCTAATTCGCTTGTTGATGTCGTTTGCTTTTCTTCGTCATCGCCATCGTCCTCCGAGGAACTATCTGCGTGATGACCTTTCAAACTTGGTTTTGATGACACGGCTTGAGTAGAAAACGATCGACGCGGTTGATCCATTGCAGTCGATGATTCACTTGTTCGTGCAGATGTTGCTGGAGGGATATTTTCTATAGTGAAACGAACGTTGTGCTACTATTACCATGTTTAGGAATTCTTACCGAGATTAAGGACGAGCGAACGTTGCCGTTCACGTTTCTTTTGAATTGGTTCATTTTCCAGATCACTTTCTGCGCTGTCTGCTGATGCAGCTTTCTCGTTTTCATTTTTCTCTGGAGGTAATAAAGGTGGTGCTTTGGATGTTGCTGGATGCGACGGCTCTATGGGTTTGGTTTCAGATAGAACCTTCTTTGTTGCTGAAGCGACTGCTTCTAGAATGACTTTGGGATCTTCCAATGGCTCATTGCGTACATTATTCGATATCTGTTCGAGTTTTTCCAAAGCGGCTTTCTGTCGTTTAGTCAAGGATCCTTTCGTTGGTTCATCGGAAGATTTTTCTTCCACATCATCAGCTTCTGCCGTCGTATGCTTTTTCTTATCATGATGATGATGAGAATGACGATGTATATGTTCCTTCTTTTTATAATCAATAATATATACACGAATTTCATAAGGGTGAAATTTGAAAGATTTCTCGTCCTGAAATAAACCGATAAAGAGTTTACATGCTTATTGAAGAGAAAACTTTACTTTATGTTCGGCCACTGATTCGATTAGATTGGATAGCACAAGTTGAGATGATGACAATCCTTGATACAATGTGAATTGCGCTGGACGATCAGTTAGGTTCGTTAGAACATATGCTCGTTTTGTATCTGATGTACGTGTATAACCATAGATTTGCTTATGACTGGATAGAATCAAATCGTAAATTCCGTATGTAAATACATCATTTTCTTTTCGAACACGAACGAGACGTTTATAGAAATTTAAGATGGAATGTTGATCTTTTTCTTGTTGAGCAACGTTGATACGAACATAGTTCGGATTGACACCAATCCATGTTTGTTGAGATGTACTAAAACCAGCGTTCAGTGAGTCATCCCATTGCATTGGTGTACGTGCATTATCACGACCAGTGATGTAAATAATTTGCATGATCTCATTATGGTCGATACCTTTAGCTAATTCGAGATTGTAGAAGTTTTTTGCAGCTACATCTGGATAATCATTAATCGAAGGAAAACGCACGTTTGTCATACCAATTTCTTGACCTAGATAGAATTTTCCAGTTCTTCATGTGACTACACAACAATTTTCAGTATGGATTTTACCTTGATAAATAAATGGTGTACCCATCATCAGCATGTAAACAGTACCGAAAGCGGTAGCACAATCTCTCCAATACTCTTTGTCATCTCCCCATGTTGAGACAATTCGTGGTTTATCATGATTTTCGATAAATAGAGCGTTCCAACCTGATTTCTCTAAACCTTTCTCCCATCTGGTCATAATACGCTTCAATGCCAAAACTAAACGAAGCATAAGACAAGTTCTTTTCGCCCGATGACTCTTCGCGCTTACCATCAAGTGTTCCTAAAGTTTTCTCCCAGAGATTTGTTGCTTCAAATTGAAATATCATATTAAATTTTCCTTTCGCTTCATCGACCCAATCAACAGCTTGATCAGCGCTGACACCATTCGCTTCTCCTACTGTAACAACGTCATATTTGCTGTAGGTTTCACGTTTAAATTCATTTAAATATTCTTCGATTCCTTCGACATTCATGTGATAATCAAACGATGAGACAAATTCTAACTGTTTAGGATTTGGCAAATCGGGCAAACCAGGCTTCTTCTTGATATGTGATATTGCATCAATACGGAAACCATCGATACCTAGTGAAAATCATGTTAAAAGACGAGAGTAATGAAATCATACGAAATGTATTACCTCGATCCAACCACCAACGTGTCATTTTATACAATTCCTGACGTAGTTCTGCACATTCCCAATTGACATCTGGCATTTTACGAGAAAATAAGTGTAAATAATACTGATCGGTTTCTTTATCATATTCCCATGCTGATCCATTAAAAATTGATTCCCAATTATTCGGACGAAGACCACCTGGTTTACCATCTCGCCATATGTACCAGTCACGTTTAGGATTCGTACGAGATGAACGAGATTCGATGAACCATGGATGTTCACTAAACCAAATATTTACCATACATATTTCTCACAAAAATCGTATTCATACTCGCTAGTATGATTCAGAACAAGATCAAAAATAATGCGCATTTTACGATCGTGAACAGCTTTGACAAGCTCCTCAACATCGGCCATCGTACCAAATACATCCATGATTTGTTGATAATCAGATATATCATAACCATTGTCCTGAACAGAAGTCAAACTGAACGAGATCCGTGAAGAAAAAATAACTTACATCATTTGGACTTTTATATATGGGACAAATCCAAATGAGATCAGCACCGAGTTCTTTAATATGATCGAGTCGCTGGATGATACCTTGAAGAAAGGTTTAGTTGAGAATGTTGTTCATGTCGATGTCATCGAAAGTTTACCGCGTATGTCTCCTATTCCATCTCCATTCGAGTCCTGGAAGGAACGAGGATAGATTTGATATGCTACAGATTCTTTCCACCATTTCCGTCGAACGTCACTCGTCGGATAGAATGAAGACTTTTCTAGCACTTCAGTATTTAAAGGGATAAGAGGATTATTCGTCGAAGTTTCACTCATTTGACGACAACAAACTGTAAGAGAAAGGTATCTAGAAGACGTTTGTCGACCAACTGGTAAAAATAACTGTCGAGCTGCAAATAAATGTCGAAGCGTTGATCGTAACAGTTTTGCGATTGTTTAATAGACAAGATCAACCAATCGTGTTAGCTAATTTGTCATCTAATCGTTCTATAAATGAATACAAATGTGAATATCACTATTCGTTTTATGCAGAATAGAATTAGAAGTTCAAAAAGTGCATAAAAAAGAAAATATGTTCTGAAAAACAACCAGCGCACTTTGACTTTCCATCATTAGTAGATTCATGTAAACCCCTACGTAGAAAAAGAAAAGATTCTCTTTTCGATACAGTGACATCTAACGGTTCGTCGAGTTAGACACGAACATTGTTTGTTCTATGTGTTCAATCGATGGAATCCAAAAAAATTCCATAGCAGAATCAAGAATACGAAGTAATCGTTCATGTTTCTGAATTATCATAGACATCACGTGATTTCGAGACATTGACATGTTTCGTTCTGTTTGTTTAACACTTTAGTTCATTTCAAGAATGGCAATATCCTGTGAAATTCAATATCATTTTTCTTCTCTTCAAAAGATGACAGTGCGAACAGTTCAATGAACGAAGAAGAGAAACTATTGAATAGAATTCTGTGTCAACATGGTAAAATAAGATTAACATTCTTCTAATTTATACATTGTATTCATCGTTGGTCGTATTATTTTTGTCAATAGGGCTATAATCTAAAGAAAACAACCATCACAATCTAAAAGGAATCGTTTGAAGTGGTATATGCCATTTTCATGATGCTCTTTGTAATTGAAATGTGTCATGAACGACGATCATGTAGATTAAACTCAAGGAAAGACTTCTTTGTAAGAAAAAACCAGTAGATCCTGTCGAAAAGAACATGCACATAAATAAAATTTTAAAACCGAATGAATTTTCAACAACAACATGTGAATAGGTCTCGTTAGATACTTAAGTACAAGTTTGAGAGTATGAAGAAGATAGTTGAAACCTTTTGCGTATTTATAATCCAATGTAAGTAGTATGTGTACTTCTTCTTATCAAAGCTTCGATATGATTGGCGAACGTTTTCCACCATTGAGAAAATGTTTCCTTGACCGCCGTTAATATTTTCTGATTATTTATTTTCTTCTGAACTATTCTCGACAATATTTTTTCGAAGTCATCGTATTTTTCTTCGCATTATCTCTGAATACCGATTCGTTCGTTGTAAACCATGTGATCGCTTGATGTTGATTGAAATCGTTCGTTCGTTTGAAGGACAAATACAATAAGCATTTGCTTGTTCTCTATTTAGATATTTGAATCGTCTATCATTTCAAAGATTCTCATTCGATTTGCTGTTCGACGTCCATAAATACATATCTTTATATCGACTACAACGTGCAATTGCTTTCTCTCCTTTATTTTTCCTCTCTCTCTCTCACTCTCTCTTCTCTCACGCTGGCCGTATGCTTTCGTATTCTAACATTTTCCTTATGAGTCATTCATTGTTAATCTTTAAACAATACTGGCCTCATCAAGTTCAGACGAAGACGTTGCAGGGTGTCCGCCACCCAAACGAGCGCGTCTAAATCCTAATCCGATCTCATCAACAAAAGATTTCAATTCTCCTTCTTCATCTCCTTCAATTCCAACCATGCATTCTTCTGATCCAACAACTTCGAACTCGTCCCTCGATAATAATAATCCAACTGATACGACTAATCATCTCGAACGACTCAAACAACAATCACAACATTGTAATGGAAATGCCCATACAAATCATTCCATGTCCACATCGACCCAAACCCATTCTAATCAAGTCAATCTACAACTACTTACAAATAGTCAAAAAGAAATCCTGAGACTTGTTGGACAACACTTACAAAGTATTGGACTGAGGTACAACGAAAACCCTATGTTTCAATCGTTTCATTAGTTGTTTCATGTTCGTTTCAGTAACACAGTCGAAAGTCTTATAACCGAGAGTGGTTGTGTACTCGAAAATGAACAAGCATCCAACTTTCGTGAACTTATTATGTTAGGCAAATGGACAGAAGTAAACCGTTGTCCATTTCGAATTTCTCCTCTATCCTTGTTGTGTTATTTTCAGGCACTTGTTGCACTTGATCAATTGAAACAGTATATCGAAGAACAAGACGGCATATTGGTACGTATATTCATACGACGGATACGGAGAAAGATTTTCTTTTCTTCTAGCAAATGAAATATTTAATTCTTGAACAGAAATATTTTGAATTAATTGAAGACAATCAACCTATGGATGCACTGTATTGTCTGAGAAACGAAATTCGACTATTGAATATTCGAATCGAACGAACCCATCAATTAACTGCGTATGATATGGAAATGGAATGATTTGAACTAAAGCTTTTCTTCTTCTTAGGTTTCTGATGTTCACTTCCATCAAAGACATGTGTAAAGCAGCAAATTGGAATGGCAAAGGTTTTGCATCAAGAGAAAGTCTAATGGAGAAATTACAAAGTAGATCAATTCGACATGATATGACAAATTAATGTCTTTTTCCTCGTTTATTAGAATATTTTCCACCAAATATCATGTTACCACCAAAACGGCTGGAATCATTACTATCACAAGCGATCGAATTCCAACAAGACCGTTGCACATATCATATTAAACCTGGCAAATTATCGATTGATGATGTTTCCTTACTTCAAGATCATGCTTGCACTAAGTAAGTACTAATTAACCGCCAAAACAACTCGGTCAATTGTTTTTCTAGGCATACATTACCCTGTGTGACAATTCGAACATTAACTGAACATAGCGACGAAGTATGGTTTTGTAAATTTTCTCCGGATGGTACTAAGCTTGCTACTGGCTCAAAAGATGGCAATTTAATTATATACGATGTTGATATGGTAAGAAGAGAACACATCAATCAGTTCGACATATCGTCTTCTTCGTCGTCACATAGGAAACATACGAAATCAAACTACGAAAACAATTCGATGGCCATACGTTTGGCATTGGTTGTATAGCTTGGTGTCCATTTAGTCGATACATCATCGCATGCGGCACAGATGAATGCAATGAAATCTTGATATGGGATGTTCATGTATGAAAGAGGTGTCTGTTGAAGTTTTCCGAAAATGAAATATATTGTATTTAGAGGGAAGAACAGCGATCACGTATAAACCATACGACAGACGATAGTTTAACATGCGCTGCTTGGTTACCTTGTGGAACAAGATTTGTTTGTGGAGGATCACGTGGACAATTCTATTACTGTGTATGAATCTGAAGAGAAATGTTCTTTTCACTACGAATTTTCTTTCTAGGATATTGATGGTAATGTAATCGATAGTTGGGAAGGTGTACGTTTACAATGTTTAAATGTAACTACCGATGGAATTATCCTGGCAGCAGATGCACAAAAACGTATTAGTTCTTACAAGTTTGATAGTCTAACTGATCAACAAATGTAAGAATAACAAACTAGAAGAAATAGATGACATATTCTCGTTGACTGTTTAGTATTCATGAAGATCATCCAATAATGTCCTTTACTATCAGCAAAGATGGTCGTCTAGCACTTCTGAATATTGCGACACAAGTACGTTGAAAAGAAGAAATTCTGTTACAGCCTTTGAACACTCTTTCTTTCCAGGGTGTTCATCTTTGGGATTTACACGATCGTCAATTAGTTCGTAAATATCAAGGTGTAACACAAGGACATTATGTTAATCACGCAACATTCGGCGGACCCAACGAAGAGTTCATTGCAAGTGGTAGCGAAGGTTTGTTTCTATTCCCTTGATTAACAGAGACTTCTTCATGTGATTTTGATCCATTAGATTCGAAAGTTTATCTCTGGCATCGAAGACATGAACGTCCAATCATGATCTTTTCTGGACATTTACGTACTGTTAATTGTGTTTCCTGGCATCCTATTCTCCCCTTACTATTCGCTTCAGCATCCGATGATGCCACAGTTCGAATCTGGTCAACGTCTGATCATCAAATAAAAACAGGTTGAATATCGAACGTTCAGCTTTCGTTTGTTATTCATCGGTTTCTTTTAGAATCATTGATTAACAGTGATTGATATGACACCCAATTCTTATGCAAATGCTTTGAACATTAGATGATGATTTTCTCTTTGTGAAAAACGAGAGAATTTACATACAAATATACATATACACAAGAAAACCAATCAGTTTTGAAATTCTTTTTTTTTCAATTTGCCGTTTTCTCTTTCTCTCTTTCTCTCGTTTTCTTATTTTGTGCATACATATACACTCCTTTTTTTTTATATTGAATACTGCGCTGTTTATTTGAATAAAAAGAAAACGAACGTTCTCTTCATATGAATAACGATAATATAGCGACATGACCGTTCTTTTTCTGTCTCAAACACAATGAAAATTTCTCATTCGATAGTCGCACATCATCATCTGTCAATGTTGATCGATTTTCCCATTCATGAAAATCTCTTGATCCAAAAGGATTATTCTATCGTTCCGCTTTTTTTTCCTAATAAAATCTATTCGAAGAGCAGAGATCAAGCTTTTTTTCAACTGGTAATCTTTCTAAATATATTTAGGAAGAACATCAAGGTCATCTTCAGCATGACTCCTGCTTGTTATTATCTTTCTATTGAAATTGTTCGAACAACAATAATGAAAACAATTCGACTAATAGTAAGAGTTACTATATTAGTTCGACTAGAGAGAAAAAGAAGTTCACTTTTTTCTACAACTTAGAATAAATATCCATTTGAGAAGCATTAATCTATATGTAACTTCGATTAACAAACTAATTGATTGATAAGGTATGAAGTGAGTCCTGAAGGAATGTGTTACTACGAAGAACAACATCGATTTAATCGGTTTCTGATTATAATCAATGCTTTTTTGAGAACTACGAATGTTCTTTCATGTGAATTACGATCAATTGTTGATTGATGAATTCATCTTGCAGCTGTACTAGCCGATGCACA